GGTGTTGTACCGTTGCAGCACACCATCAAGTCACAAAGCCAAGGGCTAGGTTTTTAAACTCTAGCTCTGGCGCCCCATACTATCTTGTCAAAAATGTGTTCTCCTATAGCAAATGACTTGAGCTGGTTCAATGTAGCCATGGATTGAGTACAAGATTTAATCATCATATCCGGGTCCATAATCCTTGATTTCCATCGAAAGCATCTTCATTAACATTGTCTCTCTTGTAACTTGGCAGCTTCACGCTGTCCTCTTCTTCAAAGGGGTCAGACCTTGGATTTACAAACTGACCGACCATCCTGCCCACCAAAACCCACACCCAAAATCATGATGTAGTTTGGTTAGCTCCAACAAAAAAAGTTAATGAAATGACTCAAATCAATCACTAAAGTCTCATAGAGTGGGATTTAGGGAGAGGTAAATAACGAACTTTATAATCAATGATATTAATGTTTACCTTTGTGAACCAACTTATTTAAAATTTTAAGCTTGGGCTTTGCAGTTGTCGATTCCCCCCTGTCTGTGCTTGACTCACTGCACAAAGTATTATCTAGGTCTAGCATCTCCCTTCTTCTACTATGCACTCATCTTCCTACGCCAAAAAGGGTTAAATCTGATGCTACCATAATATTTTTGGATAATCATCAAAACCAACATCTAAGTATCATAATCTCATTGCAAACAATATCACCATTTGAGATAATTGAACTCAATCACATTGCCTACCTCTTAGCAGCTCGAAGTGTTAGTCTACCTGTAATACTTCAATGTTTGAACCTTGTTTGACAATGGAGTCTTTATGCCAACACTAAACACTGGATATGGGAAGCCGAACTATAAACTCGTCAACCTCCTACTTCCAATGACTTGATCCTCCAACTATACGCCCACACAAAGAAATACTCCATACAATAATACAAAGTCATTAAATGAATTAGCTAGTTCATACAGAACCTACACGTGTAGTAAAGAAATTCTAAAAGACAAACATAAATTAAAAAAATACTCACCATCCAATAACATGTGCCTTGTCCAATTTCTGGATTCAAGAGCAGACAGGTCCCAAACATTACATTTTGTAAAATAATACCTTGAAACATTTTGACCTTAGCATATTGGATCAGAACGACAGCATGTTCCAACGACTGTTTATCAAAGAAACTTTTAAACATCCTCACATACTCTCCAAGTAGGGTAACATCCAACTTCATGTTAATTTATCAAAGTTTAAAAAACCTTCATTAAACATCATTTGAGGCATTAAGTGTGTTTTTGATCTATAAAAGTAAGACAATAATATAATACCCCGATGCCAATAACCTTACCTTCTTCAAATAGGCAAGGTAAACCTACACTGATTTCTCTAGTTCAAATGGCAAATATAAACCATTGTCATCATTAAGTGTTATGTATGCAAAAATGAATATTATAAGTGAAAGATGCTCAAATATAACCTGAGTCACAAACTCAAATCATCTGCTTCTTCTAAATTGATTGTCAAATATAAACTGAATTCTTTTAAACATCAAATTAATCATTCTTGAATTTAATTAACCATTCTTGAATTTAATCCATAAGAGAACTGTAGTTAATATTTGAATATAATAGACTATCAAAGGTCAGAGAAGAAAATTGAAAAAAAACTGAATAAACCATAAAAATGTCATAGCATCTAAACACCCTAGGATTGACGGTAGCCGAGAGCCTTTGAGCTAGAGAAATTCCAGTAGTAATCTAAAACCCTCATGTAGTAATTTGTAAAACCCCTTTAGAAATTAACAAATTCAATAAGGAAAAACCCTAAGAATTGGATTTAAAAATCCAAAACATGATGTAGAGTCTTTCGTGATTACATATTCTCCCTTCTACAATTACCAAAAAAACTGGGGTAATAGAGAATCTATAGAAATTGAATAAAAATTGGGGAAATCGACATGCTAAGATGGAATAAAATAATCTCTAAATATTGAATTAACATTGGGAAAATCGAAATGCCCAATTTGAATCAAAATTGCATATGAACTTTGAAAACAAACCTAGTTCTTGAATTCTCTCGCCAATTATTCGTAAGGCGGCACTTTCCCTTCGGTGTAGAAGTTTTGGTGAAGAGTAGACGCGAAAGTCCTATCGGCAAAGAAGATTTCCAGAAGCGAGAAAAGGATTCTTTCCTTTGGCGAAGGCCGAAGAGTAGAAGCGTGAAAAAATCAAAGAGTGATTAGGGAGAGACGCGTGTAGGCTTAGTTGTCAAAAAAATAGAATTCTAGGCTATCAACTCTCAAATATTATATTAAAGAATTTTATAGATTTTAATGCCACACAATAAATGATTTAAATACCACACAATAAATATATACCACACAAGAGGAAGGTTCAAATGACATTGAACCTTAATGTCATAGGATGACCCGGGGCCGCTCCGGTGTCTCGTTCGTAAAATTGACGGTTCCTACTCCCCTAACCCCCGGTAAACCCCCCACCCTGGCCCCGACCCGAACACACCCCCCACCTCCTTCAATTGCACCCCACAAGTTGATTTTGACTTTGGAGTCACTCCAAAGTCAAAATCAACTTGTGGGGTGCAATTGAAGGAGGTGGGGGGTGTGTTCGGGTCGGGGCCGGGGTGGGGGGTTTACCGGGGGGAGGGTTAGGGGGGTAGGAACAGTCAATTTTATGAGCGAGGCACCGAAGCGCCCCGGGTCATCCTATGACATTAAGATTCAATGTCATTTGAACCTTGGTGACCACACAAATACTTCATCGGGTTTTAAAACCTTTTGATTTTTTTGGTCAAACAGTGACACATTTTGATCATAAGTTGTGAGAAAAGTATATTTAATTATAATATAAATTGAATATAAATAAATTCATCTTTGGATATTGTTTTGATATATCAAATTTTTATATCATTTATTTATTTAGATTATATTTAATTTGTAGTCAATAGCATTTTAGTTTATAGTTTGACCGGGTCGTTGACCCGCGGTTAACCAGTTCAACCGGTTAGCCCTTGACCCAATCTCTCGTCCGGGTCGATGTCCGGTCCAATTTTTAGAACATTGGACGGAGGACCAACAAAATGAATAAAGTTTGACTCTGTGGATAGTAAACATTAAGTTTATTTGTGGACCGAGTCACGGAGGGAGTATACTGTAGTAGGGTAATAATCTACTCCTGTCTTAAAACCATTTTCTATTTTGACTTTTTTGGTCAGTGACACATTTAAATGTATTTTTTTTAAAATGTTTAAGTTACAATCATTTTTCTTGAGCGACCCTTCAAATTGGTTTTTGATACTATCCTTTTACTCCCTCCGTCCTACAATGATCTTCCCGGTTCATTTTACGAAGTTTGACCGACTTTATTTTCAATTCAATTTATTTGATTGTAGGTGTAAAATTAAAAAATAAAAATTATATATTTAAAAATTACATCAAAAGTTTTACAAAACAAGTGGTGACAAGACTATATTATTTTATCAAATACCTAATGAAAATAGGTAAAGAAAGTGATTAAAGTTTGACCGTGTAAAAAGTGTGTGGGAAGAACATTATAGGACGGAGGGACTATTATTTTTGAAAAATGGTACTACAAAAGTTGTGAATATTTTTCGATAATTCTATTATTTTTAAATGTTTTTTCTAAAATGGAACTATCCAACTTGTGATTTTTTTGATAATTCAGTATAAATTTTTTCCACAAAAAAAATCAAAAATTGTGAAAATGGAAAAATATCTTTTTCTTCAAAAACGGTACGGGTTAGTGTTATAACTCACTACAATTTTTTTGTATTGCAAATTCTTTCTCGAGTGTTACTCTGAATTATTTTTTGATAACCCAATATTGTATTCTCCTAGCACATAAAAAAAATTGTAACTCGTTATATTTTTAAAAAAAAAATCTGAGACAAATCTCTAACAAAAGTGTACTGTTATATTTTTAAAAACATAAATTTTAAACTTAAAATTTAAAAAAAATCCACTCCTTTTATACTCCGTATTAGAGAAAAGTGCACGAATTACCCCCGAACTTCTCCGAAAGTGCACGGTTTACCCCTAAAAAATTAAAAGTGCAGCAATCACCCCTCTAATATGCAAAGCATTGCACACTTGCCCCCTTTTCTCTTTTCCTAGAAAATAATTATAAAAAGTAATTGTAAATACTAAATTACCCTTCCCTTCATATCTACTCAGTTGGTCAGCGGGATTTGAGTGGGAAGTTTTCTTTCTTGTTAGCAGGAAAACTAGAACGAAGGTAACAAATTTGGGAATAAAAAAGGATAGCCCAAAGATCCAGTTTGATCAGCTGTATGGAATGTCATATGCACTTTCATTTAGCTTAAGAAGTGCAAGTTTTCAAGTTGGCAAGTACTGGACGAAATCATGCAGATTACCAACAAGACATTTGTCTTGTTTTTCTTGTGCAGGTTTTTTTCTTGGTTTTCATTTAGCATGGCAGAAACAAAAAAATTGGTATATGAGGTTTTTTTTCTTGTGCAGCTTCATATTGTCTCCTTGTCTCCTTCACACGGTAGTTGGAAGTCGAAGAGGAAGATGCCATGGTCCGAAGAAATATCCAGATTGAAAAGGGCGACTTCTTCACTTCTTGGCTAAATCAAGAAGATAATTCTAGGGAGGGTATTTTTGACAATTCCAATGGGCCCTTGCAAATTACAGCCGCAAATTTGGTGCGTGAGAGAAACGCACGTCGGATCTAGGGTTAGAGGACCACCTGTGCAATGCTTTGCATATTAGAGGGGTGATTGCTGCACTTTTAATTTTTTAGGGGTAAACCGTGCACTTTTGGAGAAGTTCGGGGGTAATCCGTGCACTTTTCTCTTTTATATTAAATGAACAATTTTATCCTTAAAGTGGTCTTCTATCAATTTTTGAGGTTAAAAAGTATTTGGGGTGGATATTGCCAAAATTGTTGTTGTTATTATTATTATTATAATTTGAGGATTAAGGAAAGTATTTAATTAATATTTCTTTTTGAAATTACAGCAAAGACAATAAGAAAGAATGCCAGTGCCAGCAGTGACAGGGAAGCTTGGTTCTACAATTGGCGGGAAACTTGTCGAGCTAACAGTGGAACCCATTCTAAAAGAAATTGGTTATGTCATCTTCTACCGTCACAACCTAACAGAGCACGAGGATGCCCTGAAAGAACTCAAGAATCGCAGAGATGTTGTGCAGATTAGGGTTGATGAAGCCAGAAGACAGGGCGAAGAAATTTATGGGCAAGTTAAGGATTGGATCAGCAAGGCAGACGAAATTACAAGTGGTGTGTGCAAAGGGACCCCAGGATTGTTCGTGGAGGTCATGTCCCAATCTTTGGTTACGCCATCGGATAAGCAGAGAAGCAAAGAAGATGACAATGCGAATTCGAGAGCTCAAGGACAAAGGGAAGTTTGATAGTGTTTCACACTTCATTCCTCCAAAGTTAGTAGGTGTACCGCCTACCAGCGAGGAAAATGATGAACTTATAGAATCCAGAATCTCAATCAGGAATCAGGTTTTGGAAGCATTGAAGGGTTCCTCCAGAGTTGGGTTGTGTGGGCTTCCTGGTGTGGGGAAAACTACCCTAGCCAAAGAGATAGCAAAGGTAGCTGATGAGCACAAGGACAAAGGGAAGTTTGATATTGTTTCACACTTCATTAAACCCTCAAGCACGAGGTTTTTCAAGAAAAACAATTAAACGAGAAATTATTCGTCAGTATAAAATTGGAAAAATAAATTTGACAAATTTTTTTCTCAATTTTAATTCTTGTGTTGCTATTTGTTCTGATATTTGGAGTGAAACTTATCATAATTTGTCTTATATGGGTGTTACTTGTCATTGGATAGATAGTGATTGGATTATGCATAAACGTGTTAGAAATCATCCTAAATAGGACTAAAACATAGAGAAAAGTACCAAAATAGGATTTTCATGTTTTTTTCCCGGAATAGGACTTTGCACTGTGGTAATGTGACTTTGCATTGTGGTAATGTGGCAGTGTACATGTGCAAATTATTATACTTTTTTGGTAATGTACATGACCATGTTTGGTAATGTAAATCTTATTTCGGGAATAAAAACATGGAAGTCCTATTTTGGTATATCTTCAATGTTTTAGTCCTACTCTGGTCTTTCTCCCTAAACGTGTTCTTGCATTTCGTGATTTCAATGAACAGCATACTGCTGAATATATTTTCCTATTGCTTCAGAGTATTCTGCGGGAATATAACTTATCTAAAAAAGTGTTTTCATTTGGTTTTGATAATGTTACTAATAATACTGCAGCTATTCCTAGACTTAGAGAAATTTGCCCACCGTCCACGTCTATGGGTAGATTTCTGCATCAACGGTGTGCCTGTCATGTTTTAAATTTATGTGTTCAACAGGGACTAGAAGCTATGGGCGGAGTTTTAACGAATATTAAAGAAGGAATTAGAAGAATTTGGGGGGCTCGTCTTGTTTCGAGGTCCTGGAAGATGTCCTGTAAGTCTAAGGGTAAAAATGAAATAGTTTTTGCCAAAGATATCAACATTAGATGGAATAGTACTTACAAATTGATTGATCAGATTCTAAGATATAAAGAGGAACTTGCAGAATTTTTTAGTGATGAACTTCGTATAATCATTAATCCTTCTAAATTTGTTATTGTTGAAAAATTGAATTCTGTATTAGAATTTTTTAATAACGCAACTCTTACTTTTTTTCATGTTTACCAACCAACTATAAATACATTTTTTAAAGAGTGCGTTACAATCGCAACATGTTTTCGTGAAAGTATGGCTGATCCGGATTTGTACCCTTATGTCTCTCCTATGAGAGATAAATGGTGTGCTTATTATTTGTACATTCCTGATATTTATAAAATAGGTATTATTTGTGATCCACGCTTTAAGATTGAAAATTTTAAAATTCTAATTGAGTATTACTACAGTTGTTTTTTAGATGAAAATAGTTATTACTACAGTCTTTTAATAAAATAGAAAAAAAGAGATAATGCTATAACTTTTTTTGAAAATTTATTTGAAGAATATCAAGGGTTATACAGCACTGTACAAGAAGAAACAGCACCACCTCCGCCCCCGAAATCAAAAAAAGGTTTTGCCAGTATAGTCGGTGGTCTTCTTGCAAAGAAAGGGAAGCATGCTCATTCTTCGACGAGTTCAAGTGGTACAACAGTAAGCTCGCACAACGAACTTGCTATGTACCAGGGTGTGCCATGCGATTACGATGAGGAAAACGTGGATTTTGGCGTGCTCGGATGGCGGAAGCGGAACGAACACATGTTCCCATGTCTCGGCATGCTAGCAAGACAAGTGTTATCCGTTCCGGTATCAACCGTAGCAGTCGAACGAGAATTCAGTGCTGGCGGCAACATTCTAACCGACTTTGGAAGTTGTCTTAGCGCTGAATCTCTTGAAACACTGGTTTGCAACCAAGATTGGCTCTTGGCAAGACGTTGAGCTCAAGTGTCTTCGTACCAACTCGAATCCGAGCATTACATGAATGCAACAACAGATGGAAGTCCGAGTTCTGAAGAATAAGTTATAATTTTTTTTTATGTTCATGTAAATATGTAATTAGTTTTTTTTTAAGTGAGCGATATATAAGCTCCTTCGAGGGTTTCTTTACGGTTCTTTACCTCGTCGCTTTTTTTGAACCGTCAGGATATTAAATATGGTTGTTCTTCAGTTAGTGTATTATTTATTTAAAATATTTAAATAACAACTACATTTTTAGATTTTTTATTTTATTCTTTCCTTAAACAATTGCAAATTTAAAATTTTATACTTTAAAAATTTTTAAAAAACCAAAAAAAAAATATAGGGGGGGGGGCAAAACCGGCCGGTCCGGGAACCGGAACCGGTACCGGCCGGCACGGTCACGGTTCCGGTGACATGGGGTGGCGGTACCGGAACCGGAACCGTACCGTGTCCACCCCTAAATACACATATGTAATTCATTAAAAAATGGATGCTTATTACTACATGTATAACATGTATAAAAATTTCACCCGGCCGTGCCCAAATAATCAAGCATAAGGTACATTTTGCAAAGTTACATAGAATGTAAAAGAAGGAAAAAAGTTATTACTACCACACTTTAGTTACACAACCACTAAACATCTTTAATTCATGATATATAGATAATTATTATGTTTATAATCTGAATAATAATTTCACCTGTCAAACTTTCCAAATAGTACTCCCTCCGTCCCCTGTATTTGTCCACTTTCATTTTTGCACACCATCCAATGCACTTCTTTAATCCATTTTATCTTGTAATTTGTATATTAAAAAATTATAAAAATTATATATTAATAATCTATATGTTAAGACAAATCAAACAAGATCACACATGACTATATTTAGGCTTATACATTGAGAGAATTTGATGAGTCAAAGTGCTTAGATGAACAATTCCAAAAGTCAAATGTGGACAAATACAGGGAGACGGAGGGAGTATTATACTACCTCCAACCAGTGTATTTGTCAAGTTTGACTTTTTAGAGTCAAACTGGATAAACTTTTGAACTCTAATTATTCTCAATTTATATTGCATACTAGCATAATGAAATACAATTTTGAAAGTTCTCAATACAATAAATTCAATAAAGTCATTTTTATATTAAAATACATTACGGTTTTTATTTAATTGAAACTCAAAGTTTGTCCAGTTTGACTCAAAAAAGTCAAACTGGACAAATACACTAAGACGGAGAAAGTATTATATCAAGAATATTTTACTAATTTTCTTTCGGCAATTGATATTTGCACTCCACTAATGTTAACTACACTCCAATTGTACACGTCTTTGTTCAAAATGACTATAATACCCTTAATGTTTTATTTAACTTACCAATATTGACAGTAGCTCAATTTTTTTTACAAAAATAGTACTCTTTTATTTGTTTTCTTTTACAAAAATAGTCTTATCTTATTCTTTTTTATTTTTAGATTTACTATTAACAAAACTGTAACTTTTTTCAATTCCTATAATAATGCAATGCCCTTAAAAATTAAAACCAATTTTTTTTTGCTTCGCTCTCCAGGAGTTAAAATGCATTTACATTATCAAACTTGGTTATGTACATTACCAAAAAATATAATAATGTGCACGTGTATAGTGTCACATTGCCTCCACATTACTACAATGCAAACTTCTATTTCGAGAATAAAAACATAGAAATTTTATTTTGGTACTTTTTTTATGTTTTAGTCTTATATAATGTAATTTCTATTGTAAGTTACACTTATTCTTATTTTTTCTTATTTTTAACATCGATATCTCGCATACATTTTTTTGTTTCTTAATTAACATGGCATCAACTCATATATCCCAAAGCAACGAGACAGTATGGACACTATTTTTAATAACTAATTAAACCAATATGTAAACAATTTAACATTTCCTCGATCAAGAAAAATAAATTTTACTTTGTACTTTATTTTCTAAACTAATCACAAGTTTCAAAATGTTTTATAAAAATAACTTGAGTAAATTTCATAAAACATCTCGAATTATAAGTCATTTTACATATTTAGTCCCTATATATCAAATATTACTAATTTAGTCTCCAATTATTAAATCATTTTTCACGAATGGTCTTTTAATTTGTTAACATTTTTGTTAAGAACATAGATAAAAATGTATATTCATACTTCTCTTTCTTCTCAATTAAACTTTTTCCCTCCTCTCGTACTCTTTTCTAAACTCGTCGTTGAGTTTGAAGCTCTAGACCCAAAACTGAAATGATAACTCCTCTCTAATTATTATTATTAGTCTTTCTGGTAGAACCTAAAATCAAACAATAAGATTTATGAATGAGTTTTATTGGTTAGTCTAAAAAAATTGCAAAGAAAATAAACATTAAAACTCAACCATGAAAGTTACTGATTTCGAATTTGTGTTCCACTAGTTTGACAAACAATTGAGAAAAGAGTGATGGTTTCAATTTTGGGTTCAAAGTTTCAAACTCAGCGACGGATTTGGAAAAAGAGTGCAAAGAGAGGGATGAAGCTTAATTGAGGAGAGAAAAAAGTATGAATTTACAATTTTATCTATGTTCTCAACGAAAATGTTAACAAAAGACCATTCGTGAAAATGAATCTAATAATTGGAGACTAAATTAGTAATATTTAATATGTAGGGATTAAATTTGTAAAATGACTTATAACTGAGTACTTTTTTTGGAATTTACTCAATTAACTTTATCACTTGTTTTTTTCATAATTTTTAATGGAACCAGAGAGTTTTAAAATATTGAGCTATGAAAAATTTAGAATGACAAAAAAATGTGAACAAATGAAGTATAAATTATTCTAGGGATAATGCTACTTGCACCCCAAAATTACCCCAATTTGTACCCCAATATAAAACCCCCCACCACCTTACACGTGCAAGTACCCCCCACACCATCGAAGTAATCCCCCACCCCCATTTTAAGGATATAGTGGAGTGCAAATGCTGCTAGCTAGTGTCAATATAACAAAGTGAATTTATTTTGTCAATATAACAACAAAGTGAATTTATAAATTCAGCAACTATCAATAATACAGAGTATATTTTTTTTTTGAAAGAATAATACGGAGAATATTGGTAAGCCAAACAAAAGTCAATGTAAGGATACTATTGTCATTTTAGAAAAAGATAGGTAGATGTGGAGTGTAGTTAACATTAGTGGAGTGCAAATATCAATTGCCTTTTCTTATGTTTAAAAAAGAGAAAAATTAAAATCAATAATGTTTTGTCAAGGAGACACCAAAGGTTTGTAATTTTTGAAATACAGACACAAACAGTCTATTGGACCTATACAAACTCAGGCCGGCTCGTCAAGCCCGGCCATCGCGCCCTTAAAAATCAGCAGATATGGACAACTATATAAATCCATCTAGACCAATCCGACCGGCCTGCAAGATAATGAATTCATTCCCAAGTAGTGAACATTTTGAAAAAGGATTCCCAATCAGTGCAATACACCAAAGTCAGTTGAACAGTACACGAAAATCAGATGAACAGTACTCTTTGTACCCGATGAACAGTACCCCCATTGTACCTAAAATGGCATTTTTCACCCAATTTAGCATTTTTTCACCCGGGAGTATGTATTTTATTTTGTTAAATTTGTTTAAAACTTTAGAACTCAAATTTGAAATTCAACGTATATTATATTCAATTTCTTTAAATTTTTTTGTTCTATTATTTAATATAAGCTTTTAGCCAAAAATTTAATTTATTATGTTCATTATATCTAATTATTTGAGTTCAAAGAGGCAAAAAAATCAAACTATGATGATTTTTTTTGAGAAAATTACTAAAATAAAATCAAAACAAAGTTGAGTTGTTTCTTAAATTTCTATGTATGTAATTTATTTAGACTTTTTAAATTTAAATGTTGTAGAGTTTTAAATTTTTAAATGTAACTTCTAAATTTACTTTTGCACCTTACTCATCTAACTTTTCTCAACTATTACACCTAACTTAACTCAAATCCTGTACCTAACTCAAATCCTGCACCTAACTTAAATTTTTCTCAACCACTAAACACTATACTGCACCTAACTCAAAACTCACCTAACTTTACTCAACTACCACACATTTTCAATATCTTAACTCTACTATAAATTTATGGCACAAAATAATAATCTCTCACTACACAAATACAAATCACACAAATCTTTTTCACATTTCAAAGAAATGGACTCTCGTGCTAGCTTTATCCTTCTAGCCCATTGGAATGGCGAGTTCAAAATTGTAGACAATGAGGTGGAGTACTCATTGCATGCAAACAAAGCCTTCCTCTTTGATCTTGAAGTCTCGTTTGAACAGGTCCTCAATGAATTCCTCACTGCTGTTAGAGAAGAAGGTTTTAATTCCATCAAGGAAATTTGGGGGAAATATTCCAAATACAAGGATGGTGTATATGCTGCATCACGCTCTTTCCCAATTTCTGAAGAGGGGACTTGGAGGTGCTTTATTCAAAAGGCCACCAATCAATATGATGAGCTTGGAGGTACTTATGTATCTCTTTTGGGCAATAACGCGTGTGTGTTACACGCTTTTTTTATATTATTCTGTTCTAAAACAAAAAGTAATGTTGTAAGATTTATATTTTATTTATCTATTTTTCATTAATAAATTGTCTATTATTATAACAATAATACTCGTAAATGAAATGAAAAAAGACACTACAAAAAATTGACTTTTTGTAACAAGGTAAATGTGACAGACTCTAGAATTTGCCACAAATACTCCATTACAAAAAGTATTTGTGGCAAAATTTGATGTAAGAAATATATTTCTGGCCAAATTAGATCCCACAAAAAGTCAATTTTTTGTAGTGATAATTTTAAAGGGTAGATGGTGTTGCTTTTCAACATGTCAGTCCGGCCCCAACTCCCAATATGTCAGTACTCAGTAGGAGTTTCACTAATTGGGAATGTATTTTCAAATTTTACCGTGATTGGGAAATCCCCCCATAGGTTTGAGCATTGGATTTGGCTCGCATGGGCTGGTAGACCTGCCCATATTATATAAGTATTTATAAATATATAATGTACACACATTAAATAATTTACTATAACATGAAATAAAATAAAAGATACACGATTTTTTGAATTGTAGATTTTTTAAAAATCTTTATACTTACAATTTTTTTTTTAAAAAATAACAAATGACCGGGTCAAATTTTGGAAAAGTTAACCGTACGGGAAAAACAAGAAGGGGGACTCGTCTTTCTCGTTCCAACCTAGGAGGGACAGTGTTTTCCTCCACCCCACCGTACATATTCGGCCTTATCGCAGGCATCCCGTGCCCATACCCCACTTGGGGTACATCAAATATACACCAATACAAAAATAGGTACACACAAACATTTAATATCTATACATGCACAAACATTAAGTATATGTGAATGTTTATTTTTAGCTTGGTGTACTTTGGAAAAAAAGATTAAACTAGGAGTAAAACTTTGAAAATATATCAAAATCGGAGTTTGATATTTTTATTTTCGAAATAGGGAGAAAGACCAAATTAGGACTAAAACTTTGAAAATATACCAAAATAGGACTTTCATGTTTTTATTCCCGAAATAGGACTTACATTACAAATCATGGTCATATACATTTTAAAAAACATAGAAATTTGCACATATACACTGCCACATTACCACAATGCAAGGTCACATTACCACAGTGTAAAGTCCTATTCTGAAAAAAAACATGAGTCCTATTTTGGTACTTTTATCTATGTTTTAGTCATATTTAGGATGATTTCTATTCGAAATAAGCATTAAAATGCATTATCAATCATGATCGATGTACATTACTAAAATGTATAGTAAAATATCTATGTAGAGTACCACATTCCTACTGGGAGAATTCCTATTTAGAGAATAAAAAATGAAATTTTTATTTTGATATTTTCTTTATATTTTATTCATATTTAGATTGATTTTGTTGGAGATAAGATTTTGCAAGCATTTTCCGAAGGAAAAAAAGGTGAAACAAATTCAAACTCGTCTCAGTTCACAAGTGGGTACTATGAACAATTATTACAAAGGCCAGACAAGCCCTAACTCATCTCCCTTCCCACTTATTATTGTTCGCTCATCCTCCTCACAAGTGGGTACTATGAACAATCATTATACCAAGGCCAAGGCCAAACTCATTCTCACTTTCCATTCAATTTCCTGCTCCTACACACTTCTACTCTCATTTCTTCAGCTCCTTTAATTTCTACATTGTTCCCAATTCTCCAAAAAAAAAACTCGCCAGAAACCCTCGATCTTCTCCAAAAGATTTTGGTTTTTCAATTTTGAAACCTGGGTCTGTTCGATCTCTGCATCTAATTTCCAAAAGAAAGGGAAAACAATATATCTATCCATCCTTCCGACCGTCTGTATGTCTTCAAGCAAAGCAATGCAAAAGCAAAACAAAAATGTCAGTTTTTTGACAGATCTGTTAAGGTTGCTGCAGCGGTCCAAGTGTGTCAAGCTTCGAAGCACCATTATTGTTAGTCTCTATTTTTTTTTTTCTATCTATTCCATCTTTATCTTGGTATGCATTGCGTAGTAGTACTCGCGGTATTATTAATTATAGCGCCTTTCAAGAAAAAAATGTGAATTATGGCTAATTCTTTTCATTTTATCGATTTTAATTAATGCATAGAATGATTTATATACCACACAATAAATATATATATAGATACTTCCTCCTGTTCTAAAAAAACTTTTTCTGTTTTGACTTTTTTGGTGACGAATTTTGACCATAAATTGTGAGAAAAATTCAATTATACGGAGTAATATAAATTCAATATAATTGGGTTCATCTTAGCATATAGTTTTGATATACTCGTATCAAGTTTTTATACTCCCTCCGTCCTATAATTAATTTCCCGTTTGACTTTTCACGGTCTCCAATGCGATACTTTGACCATCAATATCTTAATTTCTATATAAATATATTTTATAAAAATTATATATTTCAAAATTATGTTTCAAAATGAATCTATTGCTAATAAATTTATATGAAAATTCAATGTATTGTTTCTGTAATATACGGTCAAAGTTTTAAAAATTTGACTACAAAAGTCAAACCGGGAAATTAATTTTATTATGTTTGATTATACGGAGGGAGTATCATTTATTTAATTTGATTATGTTTAATTCGTAGTGAAAACAATATTAAAAACAATATTACTGTTTGACAAAAAAAGTCAAAATAGGAAATGTTCTTTGGATAAGTAGGAGTATTACTCTACCACTAGAGTATACCCGGAGTATATGGTAGGATACAAAAATTCTGGAACGGTATTAGAACTTGTGCTCAAGTTATTAACACTAGGGACAAGTCAAAACACACTTTACAGTTAAAGTATTGTTTTTTTAAGGAAAAATTATCTCAAATAATCTCACATTTTTGTGTCCTTTCAAAAATAATTCCATTTTTTAGTGTCACCGGATATCAGTTAACGGTCACTTAACGGAATTTTTGAAAAATGCATGTTTTTCGCAAATAAATGAAAGTTGAAATTATTTTAGGTAGATTCTCTTTTTCATTTTCTTAATTTCTAACATTAAATTTTAAATGTATTTTTTTTAAAAATGTTTAATTTACAATTATTTTTCTTATGCGACACTTAAAATTGTTTTTTGATACTATCCTTTTATTATTTTTTAAAAAATGCTACGGCAAAAGTTGTGAATATTTTTCGATAATTTATATAATTCTTTTTGTAAAAACAACATTAGAACAGTTGTTAAAATAACACAATACTTTTTTCTCTAAAATGAAACTTTTATTATTATAACTCACTATATTTTTTGTTGTATTGCAATTTTTTTCATGAGCAATATTTTAAAATGTTTATTAATAATCTTCTATTACCTCTATTATTTTTTTCTAAAATGGAACTACCCAACTTGTGATTTTTTTGATAATCCAGTATACATTTTTTCCACAAAAAAAAAATTCAAAAATTGTGAAAATGGAAACATATTTTTTCTTCCAAAACAGTACTAATTAGTGTTATAACTCATTATATTTTTAAAAAACACTGAGACATATCTCTAACAAAAGTGTACTGTTATATTTTTAAAAACATGAATTTTAAACTTAAAATTAAAAAAAGAACTCCACTCCTTTTATATTAAATGAACAATGTTATTCTTAAAGTGGTCTTCTATCAATTTTTGAGGTTAAAATTGTCAGTTTAAGAATAATGGGGTGGATATTGCCAAAATTGTTGTTGTTATTATTATTATTATAATTTGAGGATTAAGGAAAGTATTTAATTAATATTTCTTTTTGAAATTACAGCAAAGGCAATAAGAAAGAATGCCAGTGCCAGCAGTGATAGCGAAGCTTGGTTCTTCAATTGGTGGGAAACTTGCGGATCTAACAGTGGGATCCATTGGAAAACAAGTTGGTTATGTCATCTCCTACCGTCACAACCTAACAGAGCATAAGGATGCCCTGAAAGAACTCAAGAATTGCAGAGATGTTGTGCAGATTAGGGTTGATGAAGCCAGAAGACAGGGCGAAGAAATTTATGGGCAAGTTAAGGATTGGATCAGCAAGGCAGACGAAATTACAAGAGAAGCAGAAGAGTTGTGTGCAAAGGGACCCCAGGATTGTTCGTGGAGGTCATGTCCCAATCTTTGGTTACGGCATCAGATAAGCAGAGAAGCAAAGAAGATGACAATACGAATTCGAGACCACAAGGACCAAGGGAAGTTTGTTAGTGTTTCACACTTCATTCCTCCGAAGTTAGAAGGTGTACCGCCTACTAGCGAGAAACTTGATGAAAGTATAGAATCCAGAATCTCAATCAGGAATCAGGTTTTGGAAGCATTGAAAGGTTCCTCTAGAGTTGGGTTGTGTGGGCTTCCTGGTGTGGGGAAAACTACCTTAGCCAAAGAAATAGTAAACATAGCTAATGTGCAGAAGGAGATCTTTGGATTGGTCGTTTGGGTGACTGTTGCCCAAAATTCGAAGCTTGAATCACTTCAAACGCATATTGCAGAGAGTGCTGGAAAGAAATTGGTTGTGGAGACTGTGAATGCAAGAGCTAAGCATCTCCTTCAGAGGTTGGAGCAAGAAAAAAATGTACTTGTAGTGATGGACGATCTTTGGGAGAGACTTGATTTAAGCTTAGTTGGGATTCCACCTAAATGTAAAATTTTGTTCACTTCAAGAAATGTGGAATTGTTGTCCACTGACATGAATTGCCAAAACATTTTTACAGTTGGTGAGTTGTCCGAAGAAGAAGCTTGGAAATTATTTAAAGAGAACGCTGAGTTTGATGAATCCAATCATACAAAATTGCTACCTCTGGCAAAAAGTGTGTGTCAGCGCTGTGGTAGATTGCCTTTAGCATTAGTCTCAGTTGCTCGCACACTCAAAAAAAAGGACAAGGCAAGCGATTGGAGGACTGCCGGAAGACGATTGGAAAAGAATTTAGGAAAATACCTGCCAGCATGGAATAAAGAAATAGGCCCTTCGTTAAAGCTGAGTTATGAGTATCTAAATAGCGAACTGCAATCTATTTTCCTACTCTCAGCCATGCTGTCTCACGACCCTTTGATTAAAGACTTACTCAGGTATGCTGTGGGTTTGGGTTTACTTGAAGGTGCACACTCCATGAAAGATGCTCGTGATACATTGGATAAAGATATAAGTGATTTGAAGGCCTCAAGTTTGTTGCTTGATAGCTTTTCTCATGATCGTGTCACAATGCATGACCTCTTTCGTGACTTTGCATTTGAAGAAGTGCCCCGTGCGAAGAGATTTAAAGGAGGGCAACGTGACATAGAAGACATGACACAATTAGAAGGCTGCACTAGATTGGTCTTGGACAAATGGGATGGAATACTTCCAGGTGAGTTGCATTGTCCCAAACTTGAATTCTTCTTGCTAAATGGTGTAGAAGACTCTGATTTGACAATTCCAGACAATTTCTTTAAAACATTGAATGAACTCAGAGCGATGGGATTTAGCGGTGTGAATCTTTCGTCCTTGCCAACACTTGGCCACCTACAAAAGCTTAGAACATTGTGTCTGGAATCTTGTCGATTGGAAGACATATCGCAGGTTGGGAATTTGAAGAGTTTAAGAGTTCTTAGTTTTGCTGGCTCTAAAATTAAGCAATTGCCGGGCGCATTAGCACAGTTGAGATGCCTGCAAGTGTTGGATTTATCCGATTGCGACGATTTAAAAGTGATTCCACCAAAAGTATTATCTAGTTTGACTAGATTAGAGGTTTTGAACATGGAAGAGAGCTTTTGGCAATGGGAAGCTGAAGGATCCACTAAAGAGAATAGGAATGCAAGCCTTGATGAGTTAAAGCATTTGACAAATCTCTATGATTTGAACATCCATATTCCCCAAAACATTGCTGTGCCAGAAGACTTGTTCGAAGATATGCCTTTGGAGAGATTCAGGATATCATATGGAACGTCTAAGTGGTTCTGGACTGGTGGTAATGGTTGCTCTCGGAGATTGAGAGTGTGTAGTGTGAATTTGGATGATGAGATGCAAAAGCTTTTGGGAAAAGTTCAAGACTTGTATTTACAGGATCTAAACGTCAAAACTAACGTTTTGGCCGGGACAGTATTTCCTCATCAAAGTGTTGGTTGCAAATCTATAAAAGCCATTGTGGGGTCTACTAATAAAGATTCAACTGATGCCAATGTGTTTCATGCATTGCGTTCTTTGAACTCGAGAGATTTGCCAATGCTTTCGGCATTCCACGAGCAAGAGGAGGAGGAGATTAATGCAAAAAGTAAATCACTTTTCAACAGCAAGGTACGTTCATATATAAACTTATTATTATTCTTTTATCTCTAATTTAGCTCACTTACAGACCCGCCCAATCTGGCCAATCATTCAGAAAAGACTAATGCTATTTAACAATTTAGGCCCAAAATTTTTAAATAATAAAAGTTAGTATGATATTGCAAAAGTACTAATATTGGTTATTTCATTAAATATAATCTAATAATGAATTTAATTTTTTTTCAACTCTTTCTTATTTCATGATAGAGTATATGGTCATGTCTTCAATAACTGTAAAATAGTCAAAGAAATTTGTGATTTTACGTTTATACTCCGAAATTCAATAATTTACATAACTACTCCTAGAAATTGCTCAATTTTACACCAATACTCCGGGTACTAACTATGCGGATTACATTGCATTTTAACTGAAATTTTAAAGAAAAGTAATGTTTCAGACAAAATAGAGAATTTTGAAGTAGATATTTTATAATCAAATTTATATTCGTTGGGGATCTTTAAAATATAAATTTAGTGCTATATCAATTTTAAAATTCTCTAATTTTTTATCTGAAATACTATTCATAATTTGTCCAATTAGAAATTAAACACTTTATTTTTTAGTTTTAACCCAATTTTATTTTAAATCGACGTGGAGGAGGTAATTATAACGCATTCAAGGTATTTTCTTTATTTTTGTAACTAATTACCAACTCATACTTAATAATTGTCTAGTCACCATTTAAAATATCATATATTCGCAGCCTGAAATATTGGTGTATAATTGAGTAATTTCTGGGAGTAGTTGTATAAATTATTGAATTTCAGAGTATTAATGTAAAATCATAAATTTTTGAAGTGTTCCTGTGAATATTTCCTTTTTAAATATGAAATGGAAATGAACAATCATACCCTATTTCTATAAAAATAAGGATTCAAAAAGGGAGAAAGACTAAAATATGAGTAAAACATTGAAAATATACCTAAATAGGACTTCTATATTTTTTTCCCAAAATAGAAGTTAAAATGCATTTACATTACCAAACATGGTCATGTACATTACCAAAAAGTATAGCAATGTGCACATGTATAATGCCAGTGCAAAGTTCTATTTCGAGAATAAAAATATGGAACTCCTATTTTGGTACTTTTTTCTATGTTTTAGTCTTATTAAGGGTGATTTCTAATTCAAAAACAAAATAAAAAATAGAAACAGGAAATGTAACAAGGAATGAACGAATTAATTAAAGAATCTTATGAAGAATTAATAGTTTTGACTTAATAATAATCACAACAACAATAACAAATATTAATAGTATATAAGTACGGTTTCGTTGACACCGGCCAACGGTGTCGCTGCGTTTTTGGAGCAACTCTGGTGGTCCAATCGAAAAATTGATGGTTCCTACCCACATAATGCACCCTCTAAACCCTCACTCTAGCCAGACATTTGGAAGGAGGCTTAGGGCAGGGCTGTGGTGAGGGTTTAGGGGGTGGGTTAGAGAGGTAGGAACCATCAATTTTTGCAATTGGAACAGCTGCAAAAATGCAGGGGCACAGTCAGTGTCAAAGAACCCACTCATAGTTTATTACTCCACTAACTTAAACATAAATGAAAGGAAGAAAAAGTGAATCGAGATGCAAAAATAAATTAGGCAAGTCGGTATAAAGAAACGTAATTGAAGATGTAAAACAAACGTAATTGAAGATGAAAAAGATGTTAATTAGGATTGAAGAAAAATAAATTGGGTGGGAGCCTTTGAGGAATTGGGTAATGGTTATTGTTGGTGTAAGGGAAAATAGGGTTGAAACAAAAATTAGAAATTTGTAAAACACAAATGTTGCCGAAATATAAATTTGTAAAATCTACGGAGTAAAATACAAAAATTGAAAAAATTTGATACAAATAAATATGAAACAAAAAAAATTGAAATTATAAAGTCACAAAGATTGAACAATTAATCTATTAATTGATAGATTAGATGTAGGGGAAAACCATAATAAACATGGAACACCAAACTCTTGGAAAAGCATTATGGAGGAATTATAAAAAAAAAAAAAAGATGAGTCCCATCCCCGAGAACCCTCTCAGGCGATCACTGAGACGAGGTAAATTAGATTTTAATCGCAGATTGGTGGTAAAAAGTGGAGCATGCACCTAGTACTTGTTTAGGTTCTAGGCTTAAGCATAGTTGCCTCACAGGACAGTTACCAGGAATCGAATTTAGGTCTTGCCCCTTGAACTGCTCAACGCCCACCGCCTTATAAGGAATTATAAATGCAGGAGGAGGAATGGAAAAGCAATAAAGCAATTCACTCGTTGAAGATAAAGATTATCAAAAGGACCACACGTCGGATCAGACAAGTCTTTTAGAAAGATATACTATTTAGGATGAGATCGATTTGGTCTTTTTAAAAAATAGATTTGGACTATTCCGGTCTTTATTGAAAATAGATTATAGTCTGACTAGGACGGGCCCTAGTCCAGTCCATTTTCTATTTTATTTAATTATTAAAAGTTACTTTTTAATTTTTTTAGAATACTAAAAAAAATATAAAGATTACTTTTTTTATATCTAATGTCTTCAATTACTACATGTTGATTTTTATAAAGTGTCTATGTTACACACACGCGCACGTGCGCGCGCGCGCGCACACACACACACACACACACATATATATATCTAGGATAGATATTAAATACAACAAATAAAAAAATGTGAATATAAATTTTTGCTTTTGAATTTTTCATGGCATATTTTTAAATTTGTGAAAAGTATGGAGCATTAATTTGTATATGAATAAGATGGACCACCAAATTCATTCTTTGAAAAGAGTGACAAGTTTCAATGTGGGACAATCAGAAAAGAAAAATTAGAAATTTATTTTGGGACGAAGAGCGTAATAGTTAAAGAGATATTTAGGGAATTCACTGAAATAAGACTAGAACCTAATAACTTTCTCTTTTATTTTATTTTATTTTATTTTATTATGTTAAGGCTAGGGTTGACTACTTAACTCACTTTTCACCGTTCAACTTTGCGTCTCTCTCCTTCCGCTTCTTGGACTTCGGCGACTTGCAAGTCTTCCCACCCTTTAACGATTTTGTTTCTTCTCTTTCAGGTTAGTTGCTTGACTTGCTTCATACTTTTCATTTTTTTTCTCTTTTTTAAATCGATCTCAGGTTTTTTTAATTGCTGGGGCTTCTCTTTTTTCTTCTCCTGGCACTACTCCACTAATAGCTTCTCAAATTTTCTTTTTGTTTCTTTAGCCCGCTTCAGTTTTTTAAATTGCTAGATTTCCATGTTTTTTCATGCAGTTCTGTACTTTTGTTTCATTCATAAAGGAGGTATTTATTGTGGGAAAGAACATGTTTTTTTTGTTTTTGCAAGTAGCTATTTTGTTCTTGAACTTTTAGTATTTTTATTTGTCAATGGTACTATGTGTGAAATTGATTCTTTGCTACTTTCTAAAATTTTATTAAGTCTTTCAAAATTGTATAAGAAATGTTTCTGATTTAGAGATGCTATACATTTTAGAGGAATTGTTGGTAATTTAGAGGTTCTATGCTCCTTATGTTTCAATTTGCGCCTCGTGTTTGTGATGCACGCACATTATTTGCGCTTTGCGCATTGAGGCACTAGGGACCCTTTGCGCATCGCGCCTAAAACAACTATGTATAGCACCATATGTTTTTATTTTCCAATGTAGGATCATTGGTCATTATCCATTAGTCATTATTCAAGTAAATGTCCATCATCACTGGACATTATTCCTCCCACTAAACATTATTAAGTATTATTTAGGGAATAAAAAAGTTTAAGTCCTACATTTAGAAATAACTGATGTTTTAGTCCTATTTAGTGCAAATTTCACAAATATTTATATAAGACATACCATAAAGAATTTATTAGAAAAGTATATATTTGAAATAAAACATAGTTTTATAAGAAAGAGAATTTACTTAAATAGCACTTAAACACAATGTAGCATCATATGTGTTTTTTCCCATATAACACTTTTAGTCATTATCCATTAGTCATTATTCAATTAATGTTCACCATCACTGAACATTATTCCTCTTTCTGGACATTATTAAGTGTTATTTAGAGAATAAAACAGTTTAAGTGCTATTTAGAGAAATGATTTACCTTTTTATTGCTATTTAGTGCAAATATTTCTTATAAGAATGTGTTTAAGTGTATACGAGTCTATGCAAAGCACTAGCTAAAACAAGTTTATTTAATATATTTCTCTCAACAGGTTTCCATTCAGGAGATAGAGAAATTGGATCTAAGGGAGTTAAACAGAATGATTTCATCGATATGGGATGACCAACTTCCAGAAAACTCGTTCACCAACTTAAAAACTTTGGTAGTCGTAAATTGTGGCTTTGCGGGGAGATTGGTCCCCTTTCATGTACTCAGATCTTTGAAGCATTTGGAAACAGTAGTCGTTAAATATTGTGATAAGGTGGAGGTGGTGTTTGATTTTGAAGAGTTGAACGGTGAGGAGATACAGTCACCTGCATTGATTAGTGTCCCATTGAAAGAGCTGTTCCTGTACAGGTTGCCAGAACTGAAGCATGTGTGGAGCAATTGGCCGCAAGAGACGGTGTCCTTCCCATTTCTGGAAGAAGTAGAGATTGAGGAATGTGAGAGGCTGACGAGTATGTTTCCTTCAACAGCGTTGCAAGAGGAGTATCCTCTATTTCCTCACCAAAAGGTAGACTATCAATTTATTATCCATCAAATCAATACCTTATATATACATACACATACACACACACATATATAGGGATTGACTCCAGTCAGATGACACCTTAGGGTAAGGTGGCATGCTATGGTCAGATGACGCAAAGCTCACCACTAGCCACTGTAAAGCTCACCAAAGACAACTACAAAGCTCACCATATTTTTTCAATACTTTGAATTTTGTTGAAAAAAAATAAAATCAAAGGAAGGGTGTTGACTAGATTTTGACCGTTGACCGCTGCCTGTCGCCGTTGGCCGCCGCCGTTGCTTTGCCACTGCTCCGCTGCCGCACCGCCGCTGCTTTGCCACTGCTCCGCTGCCGCACCGCCACTGCTCCACCACCACGCCGCCTTCGGCCACCGCCACTGCTACGCTGCTGCGGCTGACTGGTGGTTGACCGGTGTTACTATTTTATTTTTAATTAATTTTTTAATTTTAATTTTTTTTTAAAAAATGTGAGTTTTGGTATTCAAAGTGTTGACATTTGCTTTATTTCCAGGTGAGCTTTGCATTGTCCATTGGTGAGCTTTGTAGTGTAGTGTGGTGAGCTTGGTGTCATGTCACCGAAGCATGTCATCTCACCGTAAGGACTAGAGTCAATACCATATATGTATGTATTATATATATATATATGTATGTATGTATATATTAATAAATTTATATAAATGTATGTATATATAGGGGTTTGCTCAGGTGAGAATATCCTTACAGTGAGAATATGAGAGTGGTGCATTTTCGGACTTTTACAATTGCAGTAGTGCATTTTTGGAAAGTTCAGTTTATTTACAAAATTGCCTCCGCAACTTTTTCAAAATTTTGAGTTTTTTTTATTTTCAATAATCTTTAAATCTTAAATCTAACGGATTTAGTTGACTTTGGATTCAAAATTTGACTCCAAAGTCAACTAAGTCTTGTGGGGTGCAATTGACGGGGTGTGGGGTGGATTCAGGCCCTGGTGGGCGGTAAGAATTATCAATTTTTCAAACGGAGCACCGTAGGTGCCCTAATTAGGGGGTTTAAGTCAGCCAAACCCCCAATATGTATGTATGTATGTGTGTGTCTATAATATATATATATATATATATATATATATATATATATATATATATATATATATATATATATATATATATATAGAGCTCTAGTCATATGACATCTTATGGTAGGATGACATGCTTCTGTGAGATGACGCAAAGCTCACCACATTACACTACATAGCTCCCCAATGGTCAATGCAAAGCTCACTTGGAAAAAAAGCAAATCTCACCACTTTGAACTCCAAAACTCACCATTTTTTAAATTTTGAAAATATAAAATTAATTTAAAAAATTGCAACACCAGTCAACCACCGGGCAGCAGCGGAAACCGGCGGACGACAGAAACCGGCGGCCAGGAGTGATAGAGACTGGCGGCCGGCAACGGCAGGGGTGGTCAACATGTGTCGAAGTCAAAGTCGGCACACCTCTTCCTTTCATTTTTTTCAAAATAATTAATCAAAGTGTTAAAATAAAATGGTGAGCTTTGTAGTTGGTGGGATGAGCTTTACAGTTGGTTGAGGTTATCATGAAGAAGACACACACAAGTTTGTTTGGGGCATCTACAATCTAAAAAATGATGGTTCCTACCCCTAACCACCATCAATTGTTGGTAAAAATGATGGTTCCTACCCTTAACCACCTCCTATACCCTCCCACCCCAGCCTCGTACCTGCCCCTCCTTATCTTGGCAGGGTAGGGAGGGGAGGGGAGGCTGGGGGATTGGGGCGGCTATGTGACGGTAACATTTAACGTTAGCGTTTTTAGAATTAATCTACACCATTACAATTTTATCTAAAACGCTAATGAGAAATGTTGTTCCCAGGCCTTAACATTCTAGCATTTAAGGTAAGTGTAATTTGAGTGTTACTTTGTCAGTTTATGCTTATCTTATGATGGGATAAAATATGATATAATTGGTAAAATAATAAATAGATACTCTCTCCAATTTTAAATTGTCTGTTGTTTACGATACTTGACTGAAAGTATTTTCAAAAGGATTTAAAAATATACTCCGTATTTTATAAATTTAAAAAATATTTCAAAAGATCTGCAAAATAATAAGTGACAATAACTATATTATTTTAGTGACAAAAACTGTATTATTAATATATTGCTAACTTTGATTGCTAAGATAAAAAAGTTGAAGTTGTGCCCTGAGATGAGAATGATGCACGGTCAGTGTTGTCAAGTCGTCGCCTAGGCGTCGACTAGTCGGCGACTAGTCGTCCGGTCGTTTTGGAGAAGGAGAAATGCTGTGCGACCAGCGCCTATGGCCGACTAGGCTACTAAGCGCGCTAGGCGACGCTTAGCCGCGACTAGGCCACGCTTAATCGGAGAAAGAAAACCGCAGAATTTGACCTACTTTAATTGACCCGACCCAACCCGACCCGACCCGACCCAAATTTCATTAATTTTAAAATTTTTTTAACAAAACGCTCCTTCGGCTGCCTCCTGCGACGCAATCCACACACAATCCAGTCGCGCTCGTCTTCCAGTTCCGGCGTTACTTCTGCGAGACCGCGACTTCCAGGCCACCAGCGAGGCAGCGACTATCAACCATTGTCGATTATCTTCCAGCGACTCTCCTCATGGGTAAGTTTTCTTATAGTTTGTTATCATTAAAGTATTTCTTTTAATTTTTTTCTTATTCTAGTATTTTAGTATTTCAGGTTTTTTTTTCAGTTTAATATTTCAATTTTTTTGGTTTTGTACTAGAAAACTAGAATAAGAAAAAAAATAAAAGAAATCTTAAACTGAAAAATTAAAATTTAATTTTCATTTATTTGATTCATTAAACAATAAAGTATGATATACTTTAAAGTTTCAGTTATTTTTATTTTTTTAATATTTCAGTTTTTTCAGTTTAATTTTTCAATAAAGTATTTCAATTTTATTTTCAGTTTAATTTTTCAATTTTTTTCTGAATTTAATTGATATTTTGGTTTTGTATTTCTTATTTTAATATTTTAAGCGTTCTAGGCTCTTGTTTTTGTTTAGTTGCTACTTGCTAGAATGTCATATTCACCAATTTGATTTAATAATTATTTCAGAGACCCCAAACGAAAAGCCAGCTCTAATGATCCCGGATGGAAATATGGCTTTTGGCCAAATATGAACAACAAAAATCTGGTGGAGTGCACATTATGCCACAAACAAATTAATGGTGGCATAGGACGTTGGATGATGATATTTGATACCTCAAAACATGGAATTAATTATTTTAATGTCCTTTGACTTCTTATTTTGTTAATTATCTTTCTTGGTGTGTTATTTTTTAAGATTGAAGGATATTTGCTTGTTATGTACTCTTTGTTAAGTGACTTTATGTGCTATCTTTAAACATAAATTTGATTTGGTTATGGTATTTTGACATATAAATATATATATTCTTGTTGGGTTAATGTAGATATATATAATGTTAAAAATTTCAATACTAATTATGATTTGTCGACTAGTCTACGACTAGTCGCCTAGTCCACTAGTCTCCCCGTCACCGACTCGACTCGACTTGTNTGGTGTGTTATTTTTTAAGATTGAAGGATATTTGCTTGTTATGTACTCTTTGTTAAGTGACTTTATGTGCTATCTTTAAACATAAATTTGATTTGGTTATGGTATTTTGACATATAAATATATATATTCTTGTTGGGTTAATGTAGATATATATAATGTTAAAAATTTCAATACTAATTATGATTTGTCGACTAGTCTACGACTAGTCGCCTAGTCCACTAGTCTCCCCGTCACCGACTCGACTCGACTTGTCGACTTGACAACCATGTGCACGGTGTGCTTTTCACTAAGAAGCTGTGCTTTTCTTTCTTTGTTCTTGGGCATCTTTTTCTCTTATACAACACTAACACATGCATAAGACTCCTATTTACAAACTCTCTAACCGGTAATGTTGTAGTGGTTTTGATAGTAACTTGTGACTTCAACCTTTAATATATTGCTAACTTTGATTGCTAAGATAAAAGATTTGAAGTTGTGCCCTGAGATGAGAAGCCTATGGATGGAAAAACTTTCACACCGCATGGCTTTTAGCAGATTGCAGCATTTAACTCTTGACAGTTGTGACTTCTTATCTGAATGTGTGATACCCACACATTTGGTAAGATCCTTGAGCATTACTTTGCAAGATCTGGAGGTGCATAATTGTCAATATATAAAAGCAATATTTGGTCCGGTTATGGATGATGAGGGGGAGGCACACCTTGATGATGGAATTATATTTTTCTCGTCTCTTCGAGAACTAAGTGTCATTGAATGTAAAAGTTTAGAATACATTTTTATGGCATCATCAGTAGCTAAAGGACTTGAGGATAAGAGTTTAGAGGAATCTCCAAAATTCGTATTTCCTCTTTTAGAGTCTTTGCGATTGGAGAAGTTACATGATCTCAAGGGTTTTTGTCCACAAAGATGTACATTTGAATGGCCACGACTCACATCGCTATGGGCGTTTCAATGTGAGAATTTAAAAGTATTTGGCACCGAAATGACAAGTATTACAGAATTGGGTGAAAAAGATGAAATTGAAGATCTTCATACACTGCCCTTCTTGGCTGAAAAGGTTAGTTTGATAATTCATTAGTCTGTTTATGTACTCCCTAATAATTTACAAAATAGCTATACTATTAAAAGATTTGAATTTATAAAATGAGGTTAAGATTTTAAATTAGAATATAGCAAATAGATGTATAAAAAATTGATGTTTTTCAGCTAGACCACATTAATTCACTATATTAGGTATTTTTAAAGGTTTTGTTTGGATATGTTATTTTCATTGAAGAGGACAGTGATGAAGGAAACCTACCTAATTTTAGCTATTAGATTTAATTTAAATGTTATTTACATAGATGGGACTAAATAAGAAAACGGTAAGAGGGTAAATGAAACTAATTGATACTTCTTTTCTGATAGAATTTAGGATGGGGTAAGGATAACTGGTTTGGGCAATAAGGCACTTGCATTGAACCACACACTAAAAGATTGAATTCAATCGATTACTTAATTCAACTCAAGAGCTTATATACCGTTTTATTTTCTCGGTGAGTTCCGACGTGGGATACTCTTTAACATTTTCCAATTAATTATTCTCTACAGGTCATTCCTAAGTTAGAAACACTATCATTAAGCCAAAAAGATTTGGCTGTCATAAAAAACCACCCATTCGAGACAAATCTCTTTGATAAAATGAAAATGCTTTTACTAGGAGGCTTTTCTGGAGAATCAGCAGCAGCAGCATCCTTTCCGTGTGATTTTCTTGATAGATTTCCAAAGCTTGTGCGGCTCTATGTGGAAGATAGTGACTTTGAGAAGATATTCTCATCCTTTCCATTTAGTACTTTCTTGAACTTTTTAAAGCTTTCCGGTTTGGATCAGCTCAAAACCATATGGAATGATGATGATTCTTCTCAGTCACAGCCACTTTATCTGATAAGTCTAGAAACTCTTTTAGTGGAATGCTGTTGTAATTTGATAACGCTGACACCGTCTTCTGCTTCACTTGGAAATTTAATGCATCTGAGGGTGTCTGGCTGTCATCAATTGACCTGTTTGTTCACAGATTCAACTGCCAAAAGCTTGGTAAATCTAGAAGCATTGGTGGTAAAGGACTGCAAAAAGATGAAGGAAATCGTGAGAAATGAGAGTGAAGATGCAGTAGGAGGAGCAGGAATCACATTCAATCAATTGTGGAATCTAGAACTTGATGCTCTACCGAGCTTAGAGGGATTTTGTTTGAAAAATCAGACCTTTCAATTCCCAGACTTAAGTGGAGTAACTATAAAGGGATGCCATCAAATGAAGATGTTTTCTCTTGGGGTCTCGCGAACACCAGATTTAGAGAATGTGATCATAGACGATATCAGCATGCCCTTGAAAGGAGATCTTAACAACACAATAGAATCGCATGTTCGTCTCAGAAAAGGTACAAAAAACACACCATAAGGCATAACTTGAAGTATGGCCAATTAATGAAACCTAAAATTGACGATTATTGCATATATATTCCAATCTTCTAACACTGTCATTTTGAATATGGAAAACCTTTACTTTGATGATGATGCAGGATGACCAAATTAAAATATAAGGACTGGCGGAGTTCGTCATTCATAGTATCTTCTTCTCAGGTTAATTTGTTCATTCCTTAGAATTCTCTTGGGCATGTGCATCACTTTTTCTTTATGCTCTCTTTTGTTTGCTCTTCTGAAGTTTCAAAGGGCATTTGCGGCTTAAGTTTCTAAATGCATGACAATAATATATATAGTTCCAATTCAATCTCTTCCACTTTTTCCTTAAAAAGTAAATAAAAATAATAAGAGCAACAACATATATACAATACCTCAATCAAACAACTAAAATTTCAAATTTCTCAACCCCTATTCTAATGGCAACATCAACATCTACAAAAACCTCAAACACACCGTCCTTTCGGGATCACTAACATCTTGCAACTTAGTGAACTTCCATTTTCTATGCTGTTAAAGAGTCAACAAGTTCAATGCCAATAAATGTTTTTTTACGGATCGGATGGTGTTAAAATATTACTACATATATACAAGTGCATAAGTTATTTTATTTATTATTGCCATACAAGGATATGATTACTTTTATGACGACTTATATCTTATAAAGATTTACATTAAATCAGATTTAAATTAGGGTTCATGCATGGAAAGAATAAAAAAACTTAATAAGGTAAAATCAATTTCTTTGGGTGCTGGATATGTTGCTTCAGTTTCATCACTACTATACCTTGATGGTTGTGTTTCTTGCTGGATCTGTTTCTCTTTGTTCAGGTGGTGCTGCTCCTACATACGTGGGATGACCACCCTGGTATGCTAGCTGCATTCATAAAGTTCTGGGCAGGACTATGTTTGGCATACTCATAGTTATTATAATTATTTCATTATTTAATATTTTTGTGTATGAGTGAGATTATGACACTCCTTCAAGGGTTTTCTTTTCGGTTCTTTCCCTTGATGTTGTTGTGAACCGACAGGACTAGAATTTCTATCTTTTCTATAAATTTGGATGTTCTTACTTTATTTGAAAAGGTATCAAATTGTTATTTCCAAGCCCTTTTTCCATCTCCTTTTCATATCTCTTTCTCCTCTTCTCTCTCAAATTTTTCTCAATCATTTTCCGCAATTTGGAGTCTATAGTATTCTTGGAGCTTAGAGATGTTTGGGGCCTATTTGGGAATAGCGCTAGAGATTAGCGTTAGCGTTTTGAAAATGTTATCTACGGACAATGCTTAACGTTAGCGTTTACAAAGCAATTTATACCGTTAGAACTTTATCTAAAATGTTAACACTAATCTCTAATGTTATTTGAAATAGTTGCCATCCCTTACATTTTTTTGGCTTAGAGATCAAAATTTTGATTGCAAGGTCAACAAAATTTGGGGATTCACTTCACAATGATTCGAAGGTGCATTAGGTAGGTTCAAGCTAGACTTGGAGGGCATATCCCGGGAGTTATAGATAAAAATTATCTAATTTTCAATCTGAACATCATAGATGCCCAATGTAATAACATGACATCAATTTTTTTGGGTATAAAATTTTCGACCACTTTAATCATTATTTAAATAAAATCCACTCGTATATTAAATAATGATATAAAAATAATTTTATTAAATCTAGCTTATAAAATATTTTTAAAATATTAATTTATCTAATTAATATACTATATGATTTTTACTCTCTACATCCTATTTTAAATCGTCTGTTTTAACTTTGAAGCATATTTAAGAAAGAAAAAAAATAGAAATTACTTTCTGAAATTGCCATTACTTTTTATGCGTGGTAAGGATGAATGAGAAGATAAGGTGAAGAAAAGTAACTTATTTTAGGAGTAGTTTATGTATTTTACTCATAAAAGTTTACGATAACAAGAAACATACAACTTATTTTGGAACGGAGAAAAAAGAAACATACACTTTAAAATGGAACAGAGAGAGCATATAATTATGGGTCCAAGATAAATTGTGATTGATTGTAAAAAAATCTCAAAATTGAACAAATATCTAGAGATGAAAGTTGAAAATAATTGCATTAAAAAACACAAGTGAGGGGTAATAGGACACAGGGTTTGTTTGGTGTGTAAACAAGATATAAGTTTTGATATCTCCAGATATCAAAATTTTTTATGGTGCTTGATAAAGCCAAAAGAGATATCGAATTCGATATATTCAGATATCATAAATCTTCAAAATGAAAGGTTCGATATCTCTTGAATTTGGAAGATATCAATATGGAGATTTGATATCTCTCTCAACCGATGATTATTCTCCGCCACAGGTTACCATTGTCACCGCCTACCACCACCATTGATGGTCACCCTGCTTATCATGAATTAAATCATGATTTTAAATTTTTTTCAAATAAATTTGTTTCGGATTTCAAAACCCATATCATTTTTTGAAATTTCATAGCCCACATCTTATCATATCTCCAAACTCACCAAGCGAGCCATGAGACTTGGGTTCAGTAATCTTATCATTGTCTTTTCATACATTCTTTGAGCATGTTAGATCGGGTTTCTTCCTCCAAGATCCATCCTCATTGCCCAACTCTATCTTTCCATGGCCTATTCTTCCAGTCTTTGCCATAAGCATTGGACGGACTTTGGCTTCACAAAGGCGTAAGAGAGGACATTGTAAACAGCCTTTGCCCTTGAATATGCAAAAAGGCAGTTTCAACTATGCAATGCACAATTTCAAACATTTTGCTATACAAACATTGATCCAGCATAGGGAAGAATAAAAAGATCACTCCATTTACCATAATAATGCGTAGTTTAAAAAAACATAACAAAAAAGGTTATTTGTTAACTTTGTACCCCACATTTGCTCATGAAATCAATCCTCATAAGAGGTAAGGTCACCATGGAAATGAGAACTAGTTTGGCTAGCTTACCAACCCAGCTAAACCTTTTTTTGGCCGGTGAAATGTATAGCATCACAAGGGAAGAGCCTCTATGCTACAAAATTGGTCCTCCCTATCATCATAGAATAATCCCTCACTGCAAAACAAGGAGAATTTAGCCGTCATTATCAGTATAAAGCGTCTAAATTGAATCCTAAATTGTGTCTAGATTTAGCAAACATGCAAAAATATCCATCTTATTATAAACATACATATACACGAACTAAATTAAGACAAAAAAAATGTTTAGTCCAAAAGAAAGTTGAGGATAAATTTGAGTATTAGTTTCTATGATTGGACTAAATCAGGCATTAAGTCCTACAATGGTACACGCATATCAAGAAACAACACAAGTAACTGGTACAATGGCATTGCTACGAATATGAAGAATAATAGAAGTGTGTTAGCAAAATTACCAGCTGGCAAGTTAGATTTCCACTGTGTTAATCTCAACTCTACAATTTGATAACTTCCATATCAAGAAACACCCTAAGGAGAACCAAGAGGAAAGGATTATATTGGGTGGATTTTTTTCAAACATATGGCAACCTTCAATTGCAAAAACAGAACAAGTCATTGCTATTAGCTTAACCAATTTTAAGCATAATCAGCTCTGTCTTTAATACATACCTTAGTTTAGGGAAGAAGTATTCTCCTTGGGGAAATGAGCATTAGTCATAGGCACATCATTCGCACCACTAGATTCCAAATTGGATTTCAATGGCACCGATTGTGTTGAGGTTCCAGGGAGCTGCCAAGGTATTGTTTCAAACAATGCATTCAGACAAATCCTTCATCCCTATGGATTAAATTCTCAGAGAAACAAGCAACTCTTTTACATCTGTGAAATGGTGACATGCTGAATGATGGTTTATGATGCCCATGTTTGGATTGTTTTGTGATTGCTAAGAATTCTTGGAAAGTGGTGTCACCGACATGATGCCTATGTTTAGAGTCGAGAAAACCCATGAATTAGGAAAATGGGGTTTGAGTGATATCCGAGAATTCAGTCAATTCCTGCATTCCGAACACGATATCTAATTCCTATTATTATAACAGAGCTTCAAAGGCTCCTACCATTGAGGGGTAAGGGGGTCGGATCTACGTAGCCTGACCCATATGTTTAAAATATAGTGGTTGTGGTTGTTTCCAGATGACCCATGATGAGCGTCTAAAGTTGCATTGACTAACTGCTACTTCAGTATTAACTTCATTATTAAAGAAGAGCAAACAATTAAAAAGTCATTTTACTTTATTCCATCATACCCCAAAGCAAAAAAAATAGTGAACCTTAATTTGTATGGTCAACTACATTGAACGAACTTGTGTGAAATATTTTATCTGGAGAGACTAGTACACTACATAAAAATCAATGAAATCTATATTTATTTGTTGTTGAAATAGAAGTTTTTTAATTCATTTTTTCTAGGGGGAGGTGGGGTGAAGACTACCAATTTCACCCATAAAGACATACTCAGAATTGCATTAAGATATCTTTCACACAAAAAAAATGGTGAAAAGGACTTAACCTCCTGAGAGGGTGGAGCATAGGAAGTGGGTGGGTTTCTAATTCCAACCGTAGCATCTTCTGTTTGGGAGGCTGACATTTTCAAATTCCCACCAAGAGCATCCGCCTGCCCGATATCTTTAACATTCTGCTCTGTACAAGAAAGTGTTGTTGCATCGGATGTACAATCGGGATCCTTGGACAGCTTGTTACCACCATCAATCTCCATAGCTTCAACTTTCCTATCTTGTAAAAGTATCATTCAGAGGAAAGCCATAATTTTCTACACATCACCATTACTGTTGGTTGCTTGCTGAATTACAAAAAATAAACATAAATTTAACAACTAATAATCCTCACCCATCAGAATCAACAGAAGGTAACTTCACAGGTTTTGGATTTCTGGAAAATAATACTCCACAGAGATGCTTTCCATCTATTACAGTTTCAATGGTATAGCCATCTGGAAAACTTTTGGTCACCTTGGCATGAAAGGTTTTCTTCCCCAGAGGATTTCGGTGTTCATGCATAAAAACATTCTGCCCCCTGCCTGGAAATAGACCGTGAAATGAAATCAGCCAATGAACTTGATTCAATCACAGGTTTGTATGATCATATTCACACTGCTAACAAGTACCTTCACATATGTCAAACTTACCTTCTGCGAGAGAAGCTTGCTGCTCTTGGCACTTTAACTTAAGCTGTTTTCTCAAAGATAACTTCTCTGTCCTCCTATCATTTTGTTCATTTTCCCCAACAAGCCCTGATGTTATGAGTTTAGAAGAGTTTACATTCCCCTTGAGACAAATATGAGTTATAACACTAAATTAGATGAGATCGTTTGGTTGTTTCCATGGAACAAATTTCCCAGGAAAATAAATTTTCTTTTCTTGGAATCTATGGGCGTGTTTGGATAATGGAAGATGCCAAAGGAAGAGGGAAATGCCGAGAAAAGTTACTTGTATTTCTTTTACATTTGGTTTTATGTTGGATGACGAAAATTGATTAACCTTTAAAAAATATTTTACGTATGTTTGGATTTTCTTAGTCTTCAAATGGAGTATAATTGAAACAGGTATAACGAGTTCGAATAAATATTTCAAGTAAATATATTGAGTTTGAGTATGAACAATTTGCAGGATTTTATTAGCAAACTGAGAGTGGCTGGCTTCAGGAAGCAGAGGAGAATCTGGTTTGCTGTGTGGGCTGCTGCTGCCAATGCTCTATGGAGAGTTAGAAACAATATCATAGACCAGAATGAAGTTATCAAGGTTGAGGAATGCATTGCTTATGAATGTTTAATATTAAACATTTTATTAATTTCAAACTCAAAGCTAATTGTATTGTTTAGAGGCTGTTTAGTCTTAAATATTTGCTAGCTGCTGTTCTCTGTTTGAAGGTTGCTTGTTTTGGAGTGATGAATATATATGTGCTGAGGTTTCAACAAAACAAGTTTGAGTCTGTATTCTTTATTTTCCTACACATTTTCTTTCCTCTCAACTTTCCTTTCTGCTTTCCTTGCTATTTTCTTTCTCTAGTATTTTCCATTTCCAAACGGAAGTCACGGAACTAATTCTCTCCTCTCGCACCCTAAAATTGATTTCCCTGATTTTCAGGTAAAATAAACCCACTTTCTAGTCAAAGGGAAATATTGTTTGCTTGTGTGAAGATCAAACTACATCTTTTTACTTCCATGGAACGTAATACTTGTGACAACCAAATGGCGCATAATAGAAAATGCCTTCTCATAAAATTAAAGAGTATAAAGGGAAGAAAAGAAGGAATACCTGTATGTAAGAAATACATGTCATCCAATGCTTCAAGTTTCTTATTGCAGCCACCTAAAAAGACAAGAAGACCTCCTAAATGTGGATCAAGACACTCTCCGGCCATTGAGAATCTTGCTGAAGGGCCATCACCAGTAGCCATAATCTTGTTCCATACACCAGCATCTAGACGAGAGAACAAATATTTGGAAGAGATGTGACAAAAGATAATGGCCATATAACCACCTTAAGATCCAGATTTATCACGGTATATACAACCAAAGCAGTAAAATAGAACATTTGTTATGGAAAAAGATAGGGACGTCAAGCTTTTCTATAATAAATAGTCTTAAAAGGTCTCTCGTTGTATGTTCGATGAGAGATTTCTTGGGAGACTTTTAAAAAGATTAAGATCTTCTTTTATATGCTACTCTGGTAACTTCTGCGAAGAAGTATGTTGGTTTTCTTATTTAGTTCCTCAAAATATATCTGTCAAGCTTTTTATGCTGAGCATACCTATATAAAACAATTAGCTTTTATCAAAGAGCAACAGCTTTTTCATTTATGAACTTTCCAGTAACTAAAAACTAATATGGAGTACTATGAAAATGTTCAAAAAATGTATTTTCAGCAAGTTGGGCCAACCATACACTATCAGCAGCAAATTATTCGGATATTCTTTCACAAAAGTTATCTCTATATATTTTTTTCTGCTCCTTTGTGTCAATTGTGAAAAGAGAAACTACCATGCACCAAATACTATGTTATCCATTATGAATAGCTAATGGTACATTAAATAAGATTCAAACACTTACCAACATCAAGCATATAAACATCATCATACAAGTTCTCCTCATCAGAAAAACCGCCAAAGACAAATAAGTACTTGCCCAAGGCAATAGTTGTATGCCCAGCTCGAGGTGATAATAACTGGCCTGTAGTGTTTAATTTGCTCCAAAGAAACGAATCTGTTGAAACAAAGACGCTACCATTATTAAAACAGTAAATAGAGTTAACAGAGAATACTTCTTTTTTGCATCACATGTGAGCAGGTAGTATACAACTTTGACAATGGTGGATAGCAGCCAATCTGTTGCTAGCCAAAGTAGTCTAGTTTACATTTACCGACTAATAAATTATTTGTTGATTCACTGTAAATAGCAATGAAACAATGCTATACTCTCACATCCATTGCTATTGACGGACGTGTTAATTTAACCATAATTGATTTTAGTAATTTGCTGATTCTCATTGTATCATTTCTCAAGCTTTTTGGTGAGTCACTGTCCAACAATGGCTCTAATAACATTTTTAATAATTTAGACATTTGTTCCTTTTGTGCTTGAGTCTGTCTTTCAGAAGCAGTTTCTCTAACTTTGCTAGGTAGGGATGTGGTCTGCATACACCCACCCCCCAGACGGAATTGTGGGATTACCGCGTATGTTGATGATATTGTTGTTTCAATAAAAAGGACTGGCAAACTTTTCATTTCATTTTTCATGACGTGGCATGAAGTGATTCATTCATTCGCATACATGACTCACACTAATGGTGCATAAATATTTTATCCCCTTAATAGAAACTGCCATAGAGATCAAGTGATAAACTAATGCTTACCTGTGTCAAGAATGTGTACATCAGATAAGTAGAAATTGCACGTGTCTTCCCCGCCAATGACAATGATTTTGTTCCTCCAAGATGAACAGCTATGACTCTCACGCTTAGTTGGTGGTGTGCCAGATGGTACAACACGTTTCCACATGAACGTTTCTGCAATCAATGAGCAATGAATATCACAAATTTCTTTTTCAGTTGAACATGCACAATTCTCTCTCTCATAAAAAAATTATTTAACACAAAATAAAATCTAAAATGGGGAGCAACACACCTGTATTCAGTATGTAAAGGTCATCATAGTATATTTCCCTGTCCTCAGATTTTCCACATCCACCAAAGATAAAGAGTCGTCTACCGATAAGGGCTGCACTATGGCCTTCCCTTGGTTCCGGCCCATCACCTCTCAAACTTGGCGAGATCCATGTGTTAGAAGCTGAAAAGGTACACTTGGATAGTGTCAGAACATATATGTAAAATAAACTTTTGTAAAGTTTCTTTAGGACTTGTCTTCATTCCATCTTTTTTAGTCTGTTAACTCTGTGTATATTACTATATTCCTCTTTTTTTGTCTTCTGTGTAGACGAAGTCCCTCAAATAGAGGTATTTGTTCATTTGAAAACTCTTTTACAAATGTATATTATTTATGCCGCTGAGAACCATCTTTATTTATTCTGCTTTTTGGTATAGGCACCACACTTGTCATAATAAACCCTAGAGAAACACTGAAACACAATTCATTCATCATTCAGCCATTCATGAGGTAACTTTGCTTGGGGCCAAAAGAAACTTTTCCTATAGCTTCCAACTTTCATGCCAAGGATATATGAACGGATAAGAGTATGTAAACGGAAAATTAATCTCCTTAATGGAATGAAGCAACTCAAAGCTGAAATACTATTGTGCACTGCTTATATTTAAGTTACTTACAAGTGTCCAGAATATGCAAATCACTAAGAGGCCTTGTCCCATCTGTACCCCCAAACACATATAAATTGTCACCAACTGTTGTACAACTATGGCTGTCCCTAGGCATAGGCACTGCTCCCTTTGTTGCGGGCTCACTCCATATCTTATTAACTGCAGTACAAAGGATGTATGGAAATGTCACAAAAAAAGGTTTCGAGATAAACAGTTAAAACATATCATAGATTAGACTTTGGAAAGAAAATTCTAGCTTAAATACAATGGCTGAGGGACCACAAAATCCTACAGTACCAATTTTGAACATATGTCTGTGATTTAATGTTTTAGCCCACGTTTATCGAAACTTTGTTGGAGCACATTTTCGAGGAAGGAGGAGGTAATGAGGTGTGCAACTATGCGTACAGCCACCCCTTCCAAACCCCATTTGTGGGATTTTAGAGGTATGTTGTTGGTAGCCATACTGTATTTCATATTTCAACACATCTATTATGCAAGTCACTCACACGCAATGAGTTGGTATGCTCCAATGCTATCTCTGGATGTCTTCAAATTACATTCCTGTTGCAACGCATTTTTCCTCTCGCTTTTTCTAATTCCTCTATCTTCTAAACCTTTCAACTGCTTAAATTTGGAGGTGGCATTGCGTAACAACTAATTTTTGGCTTATGCGCTGAGATGAGGTAAATTTTACCAAAAGCATAAATTTAACTACATAAACCAACTGATGAAAATTACATTTAAAACTTACTTTTTATTTTCTGAAACGATGAGACGCTTTTGCCCTCATTTTAAATACTCTGTATTCTTTAATAATTCAGACACAATTTAAAAGCATTCAACTTATATGGCCATTTCAGACGCACGCACACCTGAGAAATCATATATGAAATATCTGAAACATGGACCGCCCTAAAGTAAAATTAGCAGCAATGCCAACCATGAGAACCATATATGAAGTACCCCGTAGTATTAATCTTTGAGAACAAAGCTTAGCTCATACAAAATCAAATCGATATCACAATTCAACCTTCAAAAGCCCATAAAGGATAATATCATGAAAAACCTAACTAAAATTCAAGGACAGCATTAACCAGATGAATTACAAAATCCCTAAAATCAACCGAATACAAACAAGAATCGAAACCCTAAAATCAAATTTTGCAATGGAAAAACATTCGAAGACGCGAACAAGACTGTTACAAAATGCGAGAGAAATGGGGCGAGCAAAAATATACCACAGTCGAAGACGTGAACTCGGTTGGTCTGGCAGTCATCTTTCCCATAGCCGCCGAAAACGTAAAGAAGCTTCCCTCCAGCAATGGCGTTACAGGTGTGGCCCCACCTTTTGCCGGGCCTAACGCCCACTCCTTGTGCGCTTACCTTCTCCCACCTCATGTTATTGAAATCAAATCCAATGGTTTTTCCCGAGTGCAGTGAACGGCTACAATTCCTGAGTCAATGGAGAAACATTTGGGGTCCGATTTCTTGATCGGCACTGGGTTTTAAGTCCAACTTGAACTTGTAAGCGTTTTCATTTCTGGGATTTTTCATGCAGAGGATCCCTCCCCATCAACACCCAGGTAAGTTGGGGGTGGGTTTAGTTTTGGGGTCACCCAAAACTAGGGCTGGGTTGGGAAAACCGAAAACCGCAAACCGAACCGAAATCGATCGAAACGAGCTAGAAAAGAAACCGAACCGAAAAAACTGAAACCGAATGTAAAAAAATCGAACCGAACCGTTAGTGTTTGGTTCCGTTTTGGTTTTCACTTTGTAAAACCGAACCGAACCGAATAAACCGAACTTTCGTAGATACTTCGTTTTATTTATATGAATATATGTGATATATAGAAAAATAATAGAAATATAAATACAAATAAATTACTAGTCGATTAAAATTATATTGTTAACTATTAATTAAACATTCTAGCCATATTATTATAAACTTTAAAAAAAACTTAAAAATATGAACACAATAACTAATTCTAATATATAATTATATTAACATTAAAAGTTGATACGAGTAATTTATATATTTACATAAAAAATACTTTGATATTATAATGAAAGTGAAAGTATTATANTTTATGTAAAATTGAACCAAAAGGAACAATAACTTTCCGTTCGGTTTTTTGTTTGTGTAAAACTCAAACAAAAAAACCAAATCTAACACTACATATTGTTATTGTTTCATTGAGTTAGTGTTTTTACATTTTTTAATACTTATAAATTTCTACATTTATAAACCGAAAAAACCGAAATAAAAACCGTACAAAACCGAACCGAATAACCAACGGTTTACATATTTTTTAGGCAAAACCGAACCGAACCGAACCGCTAATTTCCCTTCCGTTTTGTCTTTGGTTTTGGGTGAAAACCGAACCGCTAAAATCGAACCCACCCCTACCCAAAACCAACTGAAGGTAAGTGGGTATATGATTTTTGGGTTAGGTTTTACGGAGTATATGATTTTTTATTTTGGTTTTATTGGTTTATAAAAGTAAAAATTTATAAAGATTAAAAAACTGTAAAAACACAAACTCGATGATATTTAGTGTTAGGTTTGGTTTTTTTGCTTGATTTTTACACAAAAACAAAAACCAAATGGAATGTTATTGTTTCGTTCGATTCAATTTTATATTGAGTATAAAAAACATGTGTTGAGTGCCCAACCAACATGTAGAATATTTCAAATATTTCCAAAGACATCGTTTGTAAAATCAATTATGAACAATTTGTGTTTCTTGGTATAATACTTTCATTTTCATTATAACATCAAATTATTTTTTCTAATTTTTTCTTTTCTTTAAAATTTTTTGAAACAAATATAATATTGAGAAAAATACAATGCAAGCTACTAGGTATTTTAAATTGGAAAAATATCACCAAAATAAAAACAACAAATTGTCATTGTACCAAAAGTAAAAGTAACATATTACACGGAAAAAGATACAGTGACATACATTTATTCAAAAATAAGACTATTGTATAATGATTTGTGACAAAAAATAATACAAAATGGAACTATATTTTAGCAATCCATAGTTTTTTTGAATAATATAATGGAATTATTTATATTATAGGTTCTACTTTAGATATAAAAAAAACATGAAGATCCTTTTTTATTTTTTTCTATGTTTTATTCATATTTTAGTCTTTCTCCCTAAATTAGAATTCTTAAAATATTATTTTATTTTTCCACTTATTCCGTTCCTTAATGGATTGCACTCTTAAAACAATATGCAAAATCTCGTTACTTCTAAATTTATTTTATTTATAAATTTGTATAATAAAAAATAAAAATTACATATTTATAAGACTCATAGCAACAAGCACCCCTTGACTAATTGGGATCAATCTTGGATTCAATTACCCCCTCCATATGCAGCTTTGAGGGTGACATATTCAGTTCCAGATTAATATGTGTAAACCGGACACCTCAATTAGACAAAAAAGTTAAGTTTTTGATTGAGTTAGTTCCTTGACATGGTATCAGAGCAAGATCTATGATTGTGAAGGTCAACCGTCAATTAACTTGTAATGGTCGACTGTGAAACAAATGAGTCTCAATAGTCGACCGTAGTGGTCCAATGATGAGCCGTTTCGCTGTGGTGCCTAACTCGTCGACAACAACAATGGCAAATGAAGAATGTTTTCAACGACCCAAAAACAACCAAATGTTATTCTCATATACTCCGAAGCTACTTTGTAACAATATGAACGTGAGCTCATTCTGAAGTCCAAAAGTTGATTCTTGATGTTCTAGAATTAGGCTGACAACACTTCTATTGGAGAGGGTCTTGAAGAAGGTGTGACAAACCAAGAAGTTAGATGCAAACCGAGTTTGTCGTCAAATCACGTGTAAGAAGATTAAGTCAATTCATATATAGAGTATATTGACATTGAAGGTGTAATCTTTACACTGATTTAGTTGAAGGGTTTTTACACAGGCGTGGGTCTCGCAGCTTGATAGAATTTGGGATAGGTATGGACAACTGGATTGGGCTATAAGACACTTGGGTCGAACCACATTAAAAGATTGAATCCAATCGATTAGTTAGTTCAACTCAAGAGCTTATATACCGATTATTTTTCTCGCACTTTTCCGATGTGGGATAGACTCTAACACTTCCCCTCAAGTGGACAACCGGGTCATTTTGAATCTAACCAGTTGACCACTTGCAAATGAACTCTCATTCCCTTGACTTTTTTTTGAGCGCCAACACCAAAAGGACCACTAGTCTCTGGGTATGGACTTCCAGACGAGCAATCGTGTTAAACGGGCCATAGACCGTTGGTTACATACTCCATACGGACAACTGGGCTAAAGACAAATGGGCCGCTAGGATTGAACATCTAGACGGACACCTTGACAAACGAGGTCGGCCAAAACCTGCTCTGATACCATGATAGAATTTGGGATGGGTATGGACAACTGGATTAGACTATAAGACACTTGAGTTGAACCACATTAAAAGATTGAATCCAATCAATTAGTTAGTTCAACTCAAGAGCTTATATACAGATTATTTTTCTCACACTTTTCCGATGTGGGATAGACTCTAACACAACTTCATGCCAAACCTTGCAGTTTTTTCGTTGTTTGCTCTGTGTGTTCTACAGTTTTTGTTGGGTGTCAAGTTACCTTCCTTCGAGATTTTACCAAACAACGCACTCTTCAAACAACGCACATCCCCATTGCTGATCAACCTGATAACATACTAGCAAAGTTTCTGGCAACTGCACAATTAGATCATTTGTTGTCTAAGTTAGGCACATAAGACTTGCATGCTCCAGCTTGAGGAAAAGTATCACACGTGGAAGTAGAAATATAGAAATTTGGATAAGGATATGGGGTTTTTTACTATTTTATGAGTGATTTACTTTTACTATTTAATTATCCTTTGTTTGTAACCTTGCATGTGATTAGTGGCTACTATTAAATATATTCTATATTTATGTTAAATATATATTCTATATTAATTGTACAAATATTGTTTCCTATTGTAGAATCCTACCATGATTAGGATTAGGAAAATGTTGTATATATAAACCCATGTACTCCCACTTTATTGTTTAAGGAAATTCATAATTCTTCATGGTATCAGAGCCAGCTCTCTATCGCTCCATAGTTGGTGCACTCCAGTATCTCACATTCACCAGGCCAGACATCCCCTACTCTATTCAGCAGCTTTGTCTCCATCTACACACCCCACGAGATGCCCATGTCACGGCCATGAAGCGTGTCCTATGCTATCTCCGTGGCACCTCCACTTACGGTATGACTCTATTTCCCTTAGGCACAGATTCTCTCCAAGCCTATTCTGATACTGATTTGGCCGGGTGCCCTGATACTAGGCGATTCACATCGGGCTATTGTGTATTCCTTGGGGACAATCTCATCTCTTGGTCCTCCAAACGCCAGGCTACCATTTCCGGATCAAGTGCTGAAGTTGAATACCGAGCCGTTGTCGAAACCAGCTGGATCTGAAATCTCCTCCTAGAGGTTCAACAGCCCCTACGCCGCGCCACACTCATCTTCTGCGACAACGTCAGTGCTGTTTACCTCTCCACTAATCCGGTCCAACATCAGCGCACCAAGCATATTGAAGTTGACATTCACTTTGTTCATGACAAGGTAGCCCTTGGCCAGATTAGAGTCCTTCATGTGCCATCCTCATCACAGTACGCCGACATATTTACGAAAGGCCTCCCGTCCATATTATTTCAAGATTTTCGGACAAGCCTCGGGATTCGCCCACCTCCGACGCTGACGTAGCTGGGAGCATGTTAAATATATTTTATATTTATGTTAAATATATATTCTATATTAATTGTACAAATATTGTTTCCTATTGTAGAATCCTACCATGATTAGGATTAGGAAAAGGTTGTATATATAAACTCATGTACTCCCACTTTATTGTTTAAGGAAATTCATAATTCTTCATATACTCTTTTAGTTTCATATATAGGCTAGCTTTTTTTTATATATTTTAATATAATACTCCCTCCGTCCTATAATGATCTTTCCGATTCGCAAAACGAAGAAAAATCCCAAGTTTTTTAAATGATAAAATAAATTTATAACCATATCTTTATTTTTTATTTTGTATGTATAAATTTTTGATGTGGTTTTCAAGTTGTTTTGTTCACCACTGTTCTTATAAAATAAAATAGTATATCCGGTACTTTTTTGTGTTTATTTATATTTAAGGGCACTTCAACCTTATCACGAGACCCTTCTAGTAATATCCTGCCTCCCTCAACTTATGTATCATTGGGTCAAGCACACAACACAAGAAATAAACTTTTAATCTTACTCTTTAAACTTCTGGTTTTGTCACGTTTGGAATTTAAGATCATGAGATTTCAAATTTTGAAATTGAAATTCAAGAATTTAAATAAATTTTTAGTTTATAAATACTTCCTTAATACTTTCAACTAATTTTAATTTTTCCTAAGTCCTTGTTTTTACAATCATGTTCCTTCCAATTGGGTGTCTAATTTTGGTTGTTTTGTACAATTAATTACAAAACCAGAGTATCAAAAGATGGCATCAAAACGGCAAAAGGCATGGACGAGGCAATTGAGCATGAGCATTACTGGTTACTTATTCACACAGTTGGCCAGCAATGCACACATATTGTGGTCCTCCCCCTCCCCCACGCCATAAATCGCTTTTCCGCATTTGAAATGCCACATTCCCATTCAGGAAGACCCTACACCAAATCTTGGCATGTTATGCCACAGGGCTCCCACCACGCTTAAACCTTAGCCCAGAAAGTTTGCGTTTTTTTTCTCTCGTTAATTTAATTTTTCCCATCGTTCAGAGAAATGGAGCTCTGGGTTTCATGCAGCCATGGATCTCCACCGTCGATCTCTAGAATCTTCATCAAAGACGCCATTTTTATGGTCTTCTTCCTTTCCCTTTTCTGCTTTAGCCCTACAGGTCAGTTACCCAAACTGCCCCTCTCCCCCTTTTAATCACTTTCTTCACCCCATTGGTGTCTCGGTTGGGATTTGTGATCATGTCTCGGGGATAAAATTGGAACTCAGAAAAGGGCTCATCGTTTCTGGTTCAAACAGCAAAAATCTTGAAAAACTGGGTTGGTTTTTTGGGATTTGATAAGTTTACCACCCCATTGGTGTCTCGGTTGTTTACTATTTGTAGTTCATTGTGTATAATGGTGGATTTCTTTGACGATTTGTTGGGGTTTATTTTCTGGGTTTTGGAGTATCTGAGTGTGGTGAGCTGGAGCTGAAGAGTTTTTTTGATTTTTTGGGTGGACGGTGACGTGTTTACAATAATGACCATTTGGATATTTTCTTTTATTGGAAATATTGTTTTTCTTTGTTGAAGGAATTTTTATATTTGAGCTATTTTCGTTTCTTGGATTCAGTAAAAAAATGGGTTCTTGCGTGTTGTTATGAAAGGAACTCTTTAAAGGCTTCTTTCTTTAGCCTCTGTTGTCTTGTAGTGTAAATTAAAATGCAATTCTGGTTCTTGAAGTGACATAGCTGGTAGGAATTGCAATATCTTGTCAACCTTTTGTCTGTATTATTTATGAATTCTTCTTTTTTTATTTAAGAAAAAAAAGTCATTTACCATCTAAAGTCTTTGAACACAGTAATACAGAACTAGTCAATTTTTTTTTTCTGGGCGCCCAATGCGAATGGAGCTAAAAGAGTCATTATTGACAATGTTTTCGCTTCCTGTAAATAATGGAACATCAAACCTCATTTGTTTTTACTTTGTAGAAAATTTAGCTCCCTATTTTGTATGTTGTTGTTGGGGTTAGATGCAGAATGGACACATACAGTAGGAAATTTAAGATATGTAATGTTGTTTGAAGTGAAAGAATATACTGTAAAAACTTTGATTTATGAATTGGTATGAAAAGCAAATTGGTGCTGGCCTTGTGCCAATCTCAGCACCTATACTGCCCTTATTCTTTAATCTTGAGAGTGAAATTTAATAAGTTTGTTGGCTATCTCCTGCAGATGCTTATGATCCACTAGATCCAAATGGAAATATCACAATCAAATGGGATATTATAAGCTGGACTGCAGATGGATATCTTGTGAGTACTAGTGGCCCTTGCACTAGCCAAAAAATTTGGAAAAAAGAGTTTTGTTTCCCCTATACATATAGATGTAGTTTGGTAAGATGCAGTGAAATATAATCAAATCTTACGGTTTACCAAACATTCAAAGAAAATGCTTGGTCTAGTAGTCTACTGCCCAGTGCCAACTCCATAAGTCTAACAAAAAAACCTTTTACTCTTCCGACATTTCGATCTTTTCTTTACAAACTACTTTTTTTATGCAATATTGTCCTTTGCCATTGTGTGAAATTAGTGTGTTGATATTCTGATCCATGAACCAACAGGCTATGGTAGTGATAAACAACTACCAGAAGTATCGTCATATCCAAGCACCTGGATGGAAATTGGGATGGGTATGGGCAAAGAAAGAAATAATATGGGACATGGTTGGTGGTCAAGCCACAGAACAAGGGGACTGCTCAAAATTCAAAATGAACATTCCTCATTGCTGTAAGAGGGACCCGACGGTCGTGGATTTGATGCCCGGTACTCCTTACAACAAGCAGGTTGCAAATTGCTGCCGAGGCGGGGTACTCAACTCGTGGGTCCAGGATCAAGAAACTTCTTTGAGTGCATTTCAAATAAGTGTTGGTCAAGCTGGGACAAGCAACAAAACAGTTTTAATGCCCAAAAACTTTACCCTTAAGACCCCCGGTCCCGGGTACACTTGTGGGCCCGCTAAAAGCGCGTTGCCGACCAAGTTTTTGTCTCCAGACAAAAGGAGATCCACTCAAGCTATGAGTAAGTGTGCCATACTTTTTTTTAGTTCCATGAGTTGCATTTTTTTTACTTGTCAGTCTTTTTTTTGCAGTGACATGGAAAGTCACCTGCACATATTCTCAATTCCTGGCCCAAAAGACGCCAACTTGCTGCGTCTCCATGTCTTCCTTCTACAACAGTACGATAATCCACTGCCCAACTTGTACCTGTGGATGTCAAAACAACATAAACCAACCTGGGACTTGCATAAGGTAAGCCTCACTTCTAGTATTCTACAACCTATTTAAGTTACCCAACAGCTTTTAGCCTCTCAGTGCTCCATGATGGAATTGTTTTTTTGCTGGTATTTCATGGTTTCTAATGCTTACAGACCGGGCTCTTCATACGTGCCAACAGCACTTTCAACCTCAAGTTCAGGAAGGACTGATTTATCACCTTTGGTTCAGTGCACTGATCACATGTGTCCAATCCGTATCCACTGGCATATTAAGATCAACTATAAAGCTTACTGGAGGGTGAAGGTGACCGTTACAAATTTCAATTACAGAATGAACTATTCGCAGTGGAATCTCGTAGTCCAGCACCCCAACTTTGACAATCTCACCCAGATTTTCAGCTTCAACTACCAGCCAATAACGCCATACGAATCCATAAGTAAACTAAATTCCCTAATATTCAATTTGGGATGAATTTCACCGATGGTAACCTAAACTTTGGACGTTTATTCAATTAACTACCTAAACTTCATTTTCTTTAAAAAAAACCTGAACTTTATCAAATCTTTCAAGAAAAGAATTTTGTAGATTTCAAGTCATCTGCCTGTCATTTTGATTAGGTTAGGTGGAAGATGAGTTGGTTTCGAAGTCATGCTTACTTAGAAGGTAACTCATCTTCCACCTAAGAAAAATGACCTGAAACCTGCTAAAATCTTTTTCTTGAAAGATTTGGTAAAGTTCAGGTTTTTTTTAATATCTAAAATGAATTTTAGCTACTTCATTCAAAAAATGTCCAAAGTTCAGGTACGACTGGCGAAATTTATCCATTTCACATGTTAAAGATCTGAACGAGTTGATTGAATTGGTTTCAGATGACACTGCAATGCTCTGGGGAATCAAGTTTTACAACGACCTATTGATGCAAGCGGGGCCTTTGGGTAATGTGCAATCTGAGATGATCTTCCAAAAGGATAAATCCAAGTTCACGTTCGACAAAGGGTGGGCGTTCCCAAGGAGGGTTTACTTCAATGGAGATAACTGTGTAATGCCGCCACCAGATTCATATCCGTACCTTCCAAATGCCGGTACCCGGATTGTTCTTTATCTTCTTCAAACTCTGGCATCAATCTTTGCATCTCTGGTTCTACTACTCACATGTGGTTAAAAATATTTGTCTGATGGAATTAACAAGTGCAATTCTTTTGTTATCTAAGCTTAAGTTAATGGTGGGGAAACTAATTGATTGATGTTCTACTGCTGCTATTTGAGTTAAGAGTATATGGCTTTGTGGTGCTTTAGAACATCAAATTAGGACGGACCATATTGTCCTACTTATCCTATCCTATATTCTATATGTAAAGTATAGTCCATTTCTTGTAGTGTTGACATGTGGCATGCCACATGCGCATCCATATGTGCAATCACTAATGAGGTGGATATATATGCATTTCAATTCATTGGTCCATTTGGATTTTTTTAAAAGATCTTTTTTTTTTGAATGCTATTGACTCTATTACAAGGTAGTATCTGTTCATACAATTTTCAAGCTAATGACTAATGACGCACAAAGAGCCAATGCTGCTGCCTTCGCTGGGGCTCGAACCTGGGTGAACTTCCCCATGAATCCTGGGGAGTGGGCTTGCTACCACTCAAGCCAGGGGAGAAGTTCTTTTAAAAGATCTTTGAATACATTTGTATAAAACTTTTTGATTTTTTCATATTTCTATAAATATATATTTCATCATTGTAAAATATGCTCCATACACACACACACAGACACACACACATACGGAGTACATGCTAATAAAACACAATATAACCACAATGTCATTCATAATAGCCAAATTTCTCAAGACTCAAATAGAACTAATTTGAAAAAAAATATAGTTATTGAGTGTCAATTCAAAAATTTACTCTATTTTTTTGCTGAATAGGAGATGTTGGTAGATTGATTGCCCGTACGTAGAGCTGGCAAAACAGAACCGGAACCGATTACCCGAACCGAAATATCCGAAACCGAAACCGAAATGACCCGAAAAATGAAGATCCGATCTATAACCGAAAACCCGAAATGATCCGAATCAAACCGAAACCGAACTTAATAATTCATATCCGATTTAAATCCGAAACCGATAATATCCGAACCGATTAAACCCGAAACCGATTGGATCCAAAACCGATAATACCCGAAACCGATAAAACCCGAAACCGATTAGATCCGAAACCGATTATATCCGAAACCGATTAGAACCTACATAGATAATTTTGGAAGTATGTTTTCCTTTCAATAAGCATATTATGCTTTTACAATTTTACTTTTATTTTACCATTTGAACTAATTATATTACTTGCTCATTCCCTTATAAAATGGATTACATGTTTTAGAAATATTACAAAAAATAGAGCAAATGAGCAATAAAATAGAGATGACATAAAACACATGAAAATTACTTTTTCCAAATCTAANGAGATGATAATCTTGCTAAACACCAAAAAGTAGTCATCTAGTGATAATTAAAAAATATAGTATTCAATAGTCATGATCCAAAAAGTGGTAACACAATCCTAATACGATTTGAATTTATCTTTTATCTTTTTATTTATAAAGATAAAACTAATGATATTAATAAATTTGCACTAAATAATACTAAAACATAATTACTTTCTTAATCTAGAACTTAAACTTTTTTATTCCTTAGAGAGAACTTAATAATGTCTTAGTGGGAGGAATAATGCCCAGTAATAAATTAATAATGGACATTTACTTGAATAATGACTAATTAATAATGACCAAAAGTCCTACATTGGGAAATAAAAACATATGGTCCTATATTGAGAAAGTCATTGTGTTTTAGCCCTATTTAGGTAAATTACTCATAATATTATTTGAAGTGATATAATTTTAATATATCAAAACTAAATTTTAAAATTAATATATCATCATAAAATATATTTTTTCATAATTTGTAGTCCACTCGAGCGAATATATCCGAAACCGAAATATATCCGAACGGACTAGACCCGAAACCGAAATATATCCGACTCAAATTGTATCCGAATCAAAATCTATCCGAACCGATTTATAACCGAACCGTATCTGAACCGACTCGAAACCGAACCGAATCGAAAAATGTATAGAACCGAAATCAAATCCGAACCGAAATTTAACCGATCCGAACCGAACCGAACCGATTATAACATATAACCGAAAGATATCCGAACCGAAAAAGTTCAATCCGGAACCGATCTGGTTGATCCGATTGCCACCTCTACCCGTACGTGATGAAGGCTTATACGTAGTATTTTTTTTCTAATTCCTCTGAACATTCATTTTCTAGAAAATGAGCCAAATCAAAATAAACACTTTTTTGAACTTTCATCCAAGCACCATAAATAGAAAATGATTTCAAGAAAATCATTCATTTTTAATAAGCCAATTTTCAGGTCCCCAAATAGATGCTAATGAGAGATGTGCGATAAAAAATTTCTAAAATCTAAAGTACGTATACAAATGACATTTTTATAGTACGTCATAACGTCATTCATCCCACACCGGCTTTTAGAATGATTAGCATTCTTCTTCATAACCAGCCACCTCTTGAGTTCTCCAATTGATAAGGTTGAAGGTTCTTTATCCGTAAGATGTTGAAGGAGACTCAATGATATTATTCATTTAAATTACTTCTTCCGTCCTAATTCTTTCTTCCCAGTTTGACTTTTCCTCATTTTTAATTTTTGGCTTTGACTTCTAATTTTACCCTCCTTAAAAAAGATTTTTTGAAATTTTTTTTGCAATCATTCAAAATATAGAGTTAGAAGATAATTGGTGTAAATACATGAGGGTATTAATGTCATTTGTCATCTTTTTTTTCTAATGGGAAGGTAGTTTTAGAACGGAGAAAAAGAAGAAGTGGGAAGAAAGTTTTAGGACGGAGGGAGTATAAAACTAAATTGGAAGAGGGGATCCTTGTGTCTTCATCAGCATCTTACCAAATTGCATGTCTCCCTTTTTTCTAATACAAATTTTTAATAAATGATAGCCTAATCCATCTCTCTCTAATTAATCGTTCGAGTTTAACTTTTTTATTTTAAAAAAAATGTTTAAAAAAAGGTTAATAATATTTTGATTAGAATAACAAAAATGTGAACTACATTGTTGTTATTAATTCGGGATGAAGGAATAAATATGGAGTCTTCAAGCTAAATTTGGAGTCTTCCCTCTAAAAATCTAAAAAAATCTATCAGATAAGAGTAAAAAAGTATGGAAATACCAAAATAGAAATAAATTTTTTTAAAATCAAAATAGAAGTATAATGACACTATGATGTAAGAATATGTGTTAGCAGTGTTATAGAAAAATAATGACAATGTAATATGACAGTGTAATTAGTCAACCGTCAGCGATCGATGATGGTATTTTGGTGGCCATAGATGACAATGTGGCAGTTGCAGTGTAACAATATGCGAAGTGTGTCATGTAACAATGACAATGTTAACTTCTCTTTTATTAATAAAAGACTTAGGACTTCTTATTAGGGCTGGGTTGGGAAAACCGAAAACCGCAAACCGAACCGAAATCGACCGAAACGAGCTAGAAAAGAAACCGAACCGAAAAAACCGAAACCGAATGTAAAAAAATCGAACCGAACCGTTAGTGTTTGGTTCCGTTTTGGTTTTCACTTTGCAAAACCGAACCGAACCGAATAAACCGAACTTTCGTAGATACTTCGTTTTATTTATATGAATATATGTGATATATAGAAAAATAATAGAAATATAAATACAAATAAATTACTAGTCGATTAAAATTATATTGTTAACTATTAATTAAACATTCTAGCCATATTATTATAAACTTTAAAAAAAACTTAAAAATATGAACACAATAACTAATTCTAATATATAATTATATTAACATTAAAAGTTGATACGAGTAATTTATATATTTACATAAAAAATACTTTGATATTATAATGAAAGTGAAAGTATTATACCAAAAAATATAAATTGTTCGTAATTGATTTTACATACGATGTCTTTGGAAGTAATTAGAATCTTCTAAATCTTTGTTGGGCACCCAATACATATTTTTTTTATGTAAAATTGAACCAAAAGGAACAATAACTTTCCGTTCGGTTTTTTGTTTGTGTAAAACTCAAACAAAAAAACCAAATCTAACACTACATATTGTTATTGTTTCATTGAGTTAGTGTTTTTACATTTTTTAATACTTATAAATTTCTACATTTATAAACCGAAAAAACCGAAATAAAAACCGTACAAAACCGAACCGAATAACCAACGGTTTACATATTTTTTAGGCAAAACCGAACCGAACCGAACCGCTAATTTCCCTTCCGTTTTGTCTTTGGTTTTGGGTGAAAACCGAACCGCTAAAACCGAACCCACCCCTACTTCTTATTTAGATGGGTGTATTCAATTAAGATTTTAAAAGATTGTTTTACCCAGTAGATTTTTTTAGAATCAATGGATTTTGTAGAATTTATGGATTATTGTAATTCCATAAAGATTTTTAAGATTTCAATCAAGATTTTTAAGATTTTAAAAAGTCAATAAATTACGGAGTATTAATCTGATTCTTCATCCCTTGGCCTTCTTCCTTTTCTACTGTGCGCTTGGGATCTACCCAGCCTTAAACATAAAATAAAAAAATCCGAATCAATTAGTGGGTTTCAATAGAAGGGCCACTAGTACATCTCCAAAAACAAAAAAAAACCTGGAAATCTGCACTCAACTAGTGCAGTAGCCAGTAGGGCTTCTACCTTACCACGCAGTTCTGCAAAAAAAAAAAAAATGTCCAAGCAGAATCTGCAAATCTGGTGTATGAATTCCGGTTTCATTAGCAATTCTGATGAGGAATCCAAGACAGCCGGGCTAATGGACACGAATCGCGGATGTGTGTGTTGGTGCCGCCGACCAATGGAAGCAGGAGAAACGAAATTGTCCAAATTCTTGCGGAAGAAGAGGAGGGGTGGGCAAAATCCGGAGGCTGTTGGTTGGATTTGAAATACCCCTGAGTATAGATTTGTATTTATATGTAGGGCATGAAAATCCATCAAAATCAACATTATTAAAAATCTTTAAAAATTTATCATTTTTTGAATACCATCATATTTAGAAGAATTTTTTAAAATCTGAATTAAATACATTCAGATTTTAAATGATTTTAAAAAATCTGAATTGAATACCCACAGATTTTCAGAATCCAAA